ATACTTTTTGTTAAAACTAAAAATGATGATTTACTTATTGCGCAAATATATGTGGATGACATTATATTTGGTGCTACTAATGAAACTTTGTGTAAGGAATTTGCTAAGTGTATGCAAGGTGAGTTTGAGATGAGCATGATAGGGGAGCTAAATTATTTTCTTGGGTTTCAAATCAAACAATGTAAGGAAGCAATTTTTATCAACCAAGCTAAGTACACAAAAGAACTACTCAAAAAATTTGGTATGTATGACTCAAAAATAGCTAAAACTCCTATGAGCACATCCATTAAGCTAGACAATGATGAAAAAGGTAAGTCCATTAATGAAACAAAATATCGAGATATGATCGGCTCACTTCTTTATTTAATCGCAAATAGACCCGTTATTATGTTTAGTGTTTGTATGTGTGCTAAATATCAATCAAATCCTAAGGAATCACATCTTAGTGCTGTTAAAAGAATTTTTAGATATCTTGTTGGAACTCAAAAATTATGACTGTTTTATCCTAGAGGTGTTGCATTTGACTTAATTAGTTACTCGGATGCCGACTTTGCCGGATGCAAACTTGATAGAAAAAGTACCAGTGGCACTTGTCACTTCCTTAGGAACTCATTAGTATCTTGGTTTAGCAAAAAGCAAAATTCTGTTGCTTTATCAACGGCCGAAGCTAAATATATAGCTTCCGAAAGTTGTTGTGCCCAAATACTTTGGATGAAACAACAATTGGAGGACTTTGATTTGCATTATGATCATATCCCTATTAAATGTGATGATACTAGCACCATCAATTTAAGCAAAAATCCAGCTCAACACTCATGAACAAAACATATTGAAATTCGACATCATTTTTTAAGAGATTATGTTCAAAAAGGGGATATTGTACTTGAATTTGTAAACACCGACAAGCAATTGGCGGATATTTTCACAAAACCTCTAAGCGAGGACCGCTTCAATTTTATTCGTGGCGAGCTTGGAATGTCAATTTCTACTTAAAAAGTTTTGTTATGACTGTGAAACTTGAATTTTTGTTAAAATGATATACGTGTATTGCTACATTGATATGGAAACATTTATATCAGTTGAATGCTTTCAAGTCCTTCATACATTTATTCTCCTTAACAGTTTGTTATTCTCAACTGTGTAATTTTTTTTGGGTTCTGCAACTTGAGGTAAAATTAACTTTGCATACATTGATTTTTTTTAAACCCTCGTGGTATTTTTTTGCATTACCATTCCAACAATACCAACATTAAGTTTAATTTCTGCTGGTATTATTTTATTTTTTTTATTTTGTTATTAGGCTTAGTTTCTTTTATTTTTATTTTTTTTTCTCATTATTATTTTTTGTTTGGGCTTAATTTTCTTATTTTTTTTTATTTTCTATTTTTTAATTTCATTTTTCAATACTTAAACATGAAAACAAAAACAAATCAAATTACAAATATTTACATAAAACAAAAAACCCTGTATTTTTTTTACGGCCATACGCCGATCACAATAAACATATTTACATTAAAAAAAAAAAAACAAACAAACAAACCTTTCATTTTTTTTACGGCCATACGCCGATCTTACTTACTCACCTCTTCCTTCGTTTTCTTCCTCTTTTTATCACCTTGGGCGGCCCTTGAAGACCCTACCGCTGTGCTTTCATCGAGAGCAACGACTTCCCGCTGACTATAAAAAGCCAAGAACAACGTTGCTCCAAATCGGGCCATGGAGGTGGTCTTCCGTTTAAGCTCTTTATTTTTGGCCTTCAATGCGCAAATCTCTGCTCGTGCATTTTTGTACATGCGCTGGAGTAGCAAGAGTTGGGCGTTGACCCGGAGGAGCTCACTCGTCCTGTTCTGCAGTCAGTGAGCCAATTTTGTGACTGCAGTCACCGTCTTCATACAGGACGTTAATGTGAAATGATTGGCTTCAATGTTTGGTTGAGTTGCAATTATTTGCTCAATCGATATCATAGGAAGGTTGGGAAGAGTAGGAGCCGGGGCACTCGGCCTAACAACGCTTACGGGATCATTCAGGTCCGGAAAGAGAGTAAGGGGACAGGACGAGGCCATGAAGTAGAAGAGAGAGATGTAATCGAAAGGAGGGTCATTTTTGGCAGCCTTTCTGCTCAGCTCAGTCTCTCTGTTTTGTCTTTCTCACGTAGAAGAAGAAAGAGATGGAAGCGAATAAGAAAGCAGAAGGAGAAAAAAGTGATTAAGAAGAAGACGGAGGAGAAGAAGACAAGAGGGAGAGAGAGCTGAGGCCGTTGATTGACCCGTCTCGTTTTTGTCGGTCGGCTGACGCAAAAGCGAGGATGCGTGTCCGACGCGACTTTTGACGGAAAAGAGAGAGGCGCGCGAATCGTATATATATGTATATATATGTTTTGAATTATGTAGATTCCATCTATTTTCCTTCTCCTCCTCCTCCTCCAATTTCTGACCCATGATTTCCTTTTGATAATGTCACAGGGGAGAAAATTATATGATGTTATGTATTATGGTATTATTTTGTATTATGGTATTATTTTGTTATGATGTTATGTATTTATAGTTTGATATTTTAGTTTCTTATCATGTCTCTAATTAAAGTTTATTTATTACACATGTGCTATCCTATGTATTTAAAAATGAATTCAGGGAGCATGACTTGAGGGGGAGCCTTTCTTACTCCCAAATTAAATCAAAACATCATTGCGTACCATCATCAAAAAGGGGGAGATTGTTAGACTTATTTATTTTGATGATTTGTTTAATTATGTTTTAATTTATTTGGAAGAGAAAAATAGAATCAAAATTTATGTTGATGATTTATTTAATTATGTTTTAATTTATTTGAAAAAGAAAAATAGAATCAAAATTTATTTTGTCCCATTATTTCTCACCTAAACCTTTATCCTAAATGCTATTAAAATGTATTTAATATTTGATTAAATCAGGAGTTCAAACAGCCCAAACCAGAGGTTCAAACAGCCAAAAAAAAAAATTCAAACAGCCCAGCACAGCAGCAGACCAAAAGGTTCAAATAGCACAACACATCAGCAGGGCAAAAGGTTTAAGTGGAAGATATTCAAATTAGTAATGATGGAGTGAAAAATATTCAAATGAATACAACGGCTATATATTCAAATTAATATAACGGCTATAAACGGTTATAAGTTTCATTATATATACCAAAGCCTCTAATGTAAACAAGTTACAAAAAAAATCAGAAAATATTCTTTGATCTATAATCACTCACATCTATTCTCTGAAAAATTCTTTGAGAAGTGTTCTTTAATTTTTGTTTACATCCTCTTTTAGAAATTATACACTGAGACGTATAGCTTTAAGCCTATTTTTCCTGTGTGAGGTTTACAGAAAAACCAGAGTTTCATTTTTATATCTATCTTTGAGAGATAATTCTTGTAGCTTTATGTGAAAGCAAAAACACCTTCTTTTCAACCTCGTAAGAGTGTAGTACACTCAGTGTTCTTGACTTAGAAAGTTTGTATAAAATTTGTGGAGGATTGCTCCATCTGTGAAAAGGTTGCTAGCACCCTGTGAAGTTAGAGTATAGTGGAAAATATCAAGTGAAATTTGAGAAGTGGACGCAAGCCGAGTTGAAGCCGAACCACTATAAATTTGTTTGCCTCTCTCTCTTTTATCTTTTTATTTTATTTAAATTGCCATAACTATATTTCACATTTTCACTGTGCTAAAATCATTAACTGACATAATTGTTAGAACACTTGTTTTAATTATTTTTATTTCATTAACTATATTTATCTATAGTGCTAGTCATAATTTTTATTAGGGTATTATTATTTTTATTTGTAAAAACCTAATTCGCCCCCCTCTTAGGTTGTCTTTTGGATAACAGTGGTGCTTCACGTTCCCGTCTGCTAGCGATGTTGCCTATGCCGGAGACCTGACAGACGACGGCCCAAATACTTCGTCGTCAATGGTATGTCTATATATTTGTGATTCGAAAGAGAGAGAAGGGTGTAGAGATCCAGATTGTGAGTAGGTTAGGGTTTGGTTTGAGCAGATGAAGAGAAGAGAGATGAGAGAGAGAGAGCATGAGTAGACTAGTTCTAGATTTGTGTGTTGAGTTTGGTAGGTTTTGAATAGATAGAGAGAGATATGATGTGAGAGAATCAAATTTTTTTTGTGATATATGGGTGTGGAATTGAGGGATCTAAGACATCATAAAATAATATTGTGAATTTCTTCTATTACTAAAAATGGAAGAAGGACCTTAAACTAATTTTTCCTAAAATTATATGGGAATATCCCTCTTAATATATCAATTTAATTTCTTATCTATAAATTCATATATTTTGATTTCTTTAATTTTTACAATTATACAAATATCATATTTATAATTGAAGAAGTCAAAATATATGATTTCAAAAATGAAAAAAAAAAAGTTTGTTTGGTTTGGATTTTTAGGATTCACTTTTCAAAAAATTATTATTTTTATTTTTCATATTTTTTTTAAATTTTTACTGATTTTTTTAATATTTTAAGCAATTTTTTTTTTAAATTTAGATACACTTAATATAAATACACTTAAAAATATAATATTTCTAAAAAAATCTTTAGAAAATTCACTATATACAAAAATATAAAAAGAAAAAAAAATAAAATATTTTTCATATTTTTTTTAATTTTTACTGGATTTTTTTAATATTTTAAGCAATTTTTTTTTTAAATTTAGATACACTTAATATAAATACACTTAAAAATATAATATTTCTAAAAAAATCTTTAGAAAATTCACTATATACAAAAATATAAAAAGAAAAAAAAATAAAAATTCAGTATATTTTTCATATTCTTATATATTTATTGATTTATAATTTTTTAGATACATATTTAAAAAAAAAATATTTAATAAAATTTAAAAATAAAAAAAATTATTTTAAAAAATTGAAACCTGACATTTATTAATAATTGAAGAGGATGTTGGTATAATTTTGCCAAATACATATATGTGGCGCCAAATTGTCCAACCGTCCTTGTATGATAACGTCAATGAGCTAAAAAGCTCGAACCAGCAAAATCAATTTTCCTCCAACAAACCCCAAAATCAAAATCAATGGCTCTTTCTTTCTTCTCCTACAACTTGAACAACCCAAACCTCACCTCCTCTTCTTCTTCACTATCAAAATCCCCAAATTTGAACAGATTTTCCTTTCTCTTTCCCAAGAAAACCTTCGATTCTTCTTGTTTCTCTGTTCGTTCGATCTCAAACGGGGACGAAACCAACGACAAAGACTCAATCACTCCCAAGAAGAAACTCTCGGACCAGTCTTCCTGGGAGGCCAAAGACTCTCACGGAGACGATTATCTTTACAGGCTCGGCAAAGAGGCCGATAACATGAACATCGCCGTCGGTGCTAGGGCTGGCGTCATTGATGACCTCTTCGCCGGCAAATTTCTTGGAAGAGACTGTATGTCATTTTTTTCTAATTTTTGTTTATTTTCTGAGAAAGAAAAAATGCAGGAAATGGAAACAACTGAACTGAACTGATTTGAACTCAACTTCAATTTTATTGTTTTTGTTTGATATTTTGATCTTATATATGATGCAGCGGATGTTGTGTTTGATTACCGGCAGAAGGTGACTAGGTCGTTTGAGTACCTTCAAGGCGATTATTACATTGCTCCTCTTTTCATGGTACGTTGCTTGATTATGATCATTTTTGTTTTGTCTAGTTTCATTTTCTACTTTGCGTCTATATGATACTTTGCATTGCTTGAGTAGTTGTTGAGTAAATCATTTGAATTGTCTTTCCTCCATCCACTTAGAATATCAGAATTGCCAATGTCGAAATTTTGTTGATACCTATGTTAACTGGAACATTGGTTGTTTTGTATACATTGAATGGGAACGAGAATGGACACATGATAAAAAGGGTCCACATTGATAAAAAAAAGTACTGAACCCGCCTGCAGTTAGTGTAGTGTCCTCTTGGAATTCTTGAATTTGTAGCTTCTGCTGCTTCTCAGTTTTCTCATTTTTCTACAGAACTTGGTGATACATAGTCTCTTCTCACATTGGTGTCTGAGACTAATGTGTTCTCCCTTTGTGTGCATCATTTTGTTTCCTCCACTCTTTGAATGAACTTATGTTCATCTCACAAAAAAGCTTGATTTGTTGAAAAAAAATTCTGCAGCCAGCACATCTCAGTTGTCATCCAAAAGAGCTCGTGGCTTCATATTCACTGGTACTCAGAAGGCATCCCAAGAGGGTGGTGAATTGGGTTTATAAATAAATTGGTATATTAAAAAATTAATCCAAATAATAAATAAATAAAAATATGAAGCAATATAAATGGGAGTAATAAAAATGAAATAAGCAAAGGGAAGAAAAAGCAAGCTCAACGATTTATAATGGTTCTGCTTAAACCCAAGCCTACTTCCACTCCTCAAGTATTTTCTTCGGGATATATGTGAGCAAAATGAGATGAGAGAGAACGTTCATGACAGAGGGAGAGAGGGATCGGCCAATCTTTTGTTGGTGCCGGAGCGTGGGCCTCAACGGAGGTGGTTGTTTTTAGGTCCACGGTCTTACAAGTTAGAGGATATTGGTGCAGATAGCAGAGGTCGCCGGATGGTGTCGGTGGTGGAACAAGGACAGGGTCGACGCAGTGAGATAGTTCTGTACGGGGCAGAGATCAGATGGTTAGTAGGTCACCTCCGGCAGGCAGAGGGGTCGGGGGACAGTGTTCTGTTTCTGGGTCGTGTGTTAGGTGGTAGTCCAAGTGTGGCAGCATGGCTAAGGTCAGAGCAAGATGGGCGTGTGGTGTAGGTGGTCATGTCGTCGGAGCAACGTCGGCAACAGATGTTTATTCCTTCATTGGATGGAGGTTGGGAAGGTTTGGCCTTGGTACTAGAGGGTTTCGATCCAGGTTGGGGGTGGACTGGCCGAAATCAGGCTTGGTGGTCGCCGGGTGGTCGGCTTCGGAAATGGTTGCCGGCGTTGGGGAGACGGGGCCGAGATCATGGCCGTGATTTTCGTAAGACGATCGCGGATCAAGCTGGTGGGCGATCATGTCGGAACTGCCTTCTTGGATTAGCGGGTTCTAGATTGGGGCAGCAGAAACTGGGCCTGGGCTTGGGCCTGTGTTGGTGGGCCAAAATGTTAAGGGTGGGAGGCAAACTGGGCTGGGCTATTCAAGTCTAGAAAATAACAGGCAGATTAGGTTGGGCTATTCAAGTTTAGGAAATAAAAGATTTGGGCAGGCCCCTGCACACCAGTTTGGGCCGTTTGGGCGATTGTACCAACGATGGGGCCGTCGGCCTTTGCATGACCTTCAGGGCTTCTAGGTCTGGATCCACGAGCCAAACGGGTTAGACCCATTGCTGAGGGAGGTTCGACTTGTGTTGATACCAACTTGAACCCGTCTGTTAGTTGGGTTTTCGAATCTTTGTCTACAGTGATTGGGTGTGGAGGCGAGGTGATTGAGAAAACTAATGGAAGGGAGGGTGATCGACGGTCTTCGGTGGAGATTCAGCTGCCGGCTCCTGCGACTAGGTTTTACGAGTCTTCAGTTGTTCGGAATGGAGGGGCGCACCGAGCTGGAGTTGATGATTTGGTGTTGGGGAATGGTGTAGGTTGTCGGGAAAGTGAGGATCACCTTCTGATGGGGCTGTCAGGTCAGCTAGAGGGAGAATCATCAGTTCATTCGAAGGAGGTTTAGGTTAGTGAGGCTTAGGCGGTGGTTCTGTTGCGGAAGGCCTAGGATGTGGTTGGTCTGCAGTCGCAAGTGCCGGAAAGGTGGGAGGATTTAGTGGATGATACATATGATGGTTTGGGTGTGTCAGGGATTGAGGTTGCTGCCAACTTTAAGCTTCTTCAACTGCTTGCAATGTCTCATGCTGGGCTGGGTGGAGGAATGCCTATTGATGGAGATTGTTTTGGGGCTTCATAGCCTTCAGCTTCAGAGGTTTTAGATTGGGTTTTGGGGCAAATTAGCGAGGTCAGTCGGTTGTTGGGGATTTCATTTGAGGGGCATGAGCAAGGTTCTGAAAAGCGGTTGTGGTCGCCGTAACGGTGGCGGTGCGTGCGGTTGCGGTTGCGGTTGCGGGGTGTAAAGGCCATAGCGTAACGGTTGTGGTAACCAGAACTGTGAATTTTTTTTATCTTTCGCACAATTTGAAAAAAACTTACCAATACGTACATTTTTTTTCCATGATCATATTTATTGGGTTTTAAAATAAATATTGATCAATTTTTATGAATTTTTAAGTTTGATCCAATATATTTCATATTTTTAAATCACTATAAACTGAGTTTTTTACATTTTATTTTAATAATTAATGACTTTATATTTTACAAAAAATAATCACTAACTATTATATATAAGATAAATAATGACAAAAGTAAGAGAATAAATAAAAGTCTAAATATATATATATATATTAATCAAGCCAAATAGATAATGACCACACTTATTATTATTATTATTTTCAAACAATATATAAATAGATACACACAAACAAAATGGTTGAGTGATAATAGCTGAATAGAATAGCATAGGTCTTACAACTTCAACAAATCAATAACATGTTCTTCATCTTCCCTATTCTCTCTCTCTATCTCTTGTTCCTCCATCTTCCCTATTCTCTCTCTATCTCTCTTCCCCCATTTTCAACTTTTTTTTTGTGTTTTTTTGAAAGAAACAATTCGGAACCGTTACATAACGGTGCGTAACAGGCCGTTACGGCACCATTACGACCGCTATAGCAGCCGCTACGGCCGATACACCTGTGAATCTCAATCACACTGCAAAAGCAGCCGTAACGGTTGCGGCCGCTTTTTAAAACCTTGGGAAAGGTTATGCGATTATTCTCGGCAGTAGAGCTGTCTTGGTGCGATGGGGTTGCGTCAAAGGAAGTTGTTTGGAATGGGGCTTATCGCCACAAGGGGGCAAGATAGCTGTGTAATCTGGCGTGTTCTATTGATTACGATAGTTGTTTGGGGGAGCAAAGGAAAAGGGTGAAGCAGGGGCAGGAGAAGCAACTTTTGTTGAAATGAGACTAAAGCTTTTATCATGGAATGTGGGTGGGTTGAATGACAGGGGAAGCATGTGGCGGTGGGAGCGTTGTTGAGAAGTGTGAAAGCAGATGTGGTTTGCATTCAGGAGACCAAAATGGAGTGTCTGGGTAGGGATGTTATTAAGGAATTATAGGGTGGTCAATTTATTGATTGGGTGTTCCTTCCGGCATCAGGTGTGGCAGGAGGGGTTCTGGTCTGTTGGGATAGTAGGGTGTTGGTGAGAGAGGAGACAGAGGTGGGGGCTTTCTCAGTGCCCTGTTTGTTCCGATGTGTGGAGGATGGTTTTCGTTGGGTGTTTACAGGGTGTGGAGAGGTGAATGTTTTTAGAGGAGTTAGACTGTGTTGCGTTTTGATGGGAGTATCCGTGGTGTGCAGGGGTTAATTTTAGTATGGTGAGATGGCTGGGCGAAAGATCTCGTGAGGGTCGTAAATCGGGTGTGATGCAGAATTTCTCTGATCTGGTTGATGAGTTGCATTTGGTGGATTTGCCTTTACAGGGAGGGGGCTATACATGGTCTCGGGGCCGGGTTTCTTCCCGGATTGATCGGTTTCTGGTGACAGGAGATTGGGAGGAGCATTTTCCAGGGGCAGTTCAGCGTCGGTTGCCTAGGCCGGTTTCTGATCATTGGCCAATTCTATTAGATGGTGGGGGTATTCGGAGGGGTCCCTCGCCCTTTCATCTTGAGAACATGTGGCTCCGGTCGGATGGATTTGCGGATAGGGTCAAATGTTGATGGGAGGGCTACTTTGTGTCCGGTTCTCCGAGCCATAGGTTGGCGCAGCAGCTGAAATGGCTAACGGCAAACTTGAAACACTGGAATAAAGAGGCCTTTGGTCTTTTGGATGGGTAGAAGGCCATGGCGTTGGCTCAATTGCAGTCTTTGGACGAGGTGGAAGCTCATTGCGGGTTTGGTGGCTGAAGAGGTGGCTCAAAAGGAGCATTTACGTGCCGATTTTTCTCGGCTTGCACAGATGGAGGAGGTCAGTTTTCGGCAGAAGTCTAGGTGTTTGTGGTTGAAAGAAGGGGATCGTAATACAAAGTTCTTCCATCGGATGACAAATGCGCATCGTAGGGTGAATTAGATTGGGAAGATTCGGGTTAATAGAGTGGAGTTGACAGTCGCGGAGGAGGTTCAGATGGGGATTGCCGGGTTTTATGAGCATTTGTTCAGGCGGCCGGAGGTAGGGTGACATCCCGGGGTTGCTGGTCTAGGTTTTGATATGCTTTCAAATTCTGATGGGTTGGAGCAGCCGTTTACAGAACAAGAGGTGATGGGTGCTTTGAAGAGGATGAGTGGAGATAAGGCTTTAGGTCCGGATGGTTTTGCAATAGCTTTTTTCCAGCATTGTTGGAAGGTTGTAAAGGGGGATGTGATGGCAGTGATGTCGTAGTTTTATCAGACGGGCCAATTTGGGGAGAGTTTCAAAGCGACTTTTGTTGCTTTGATTCCTAGGGTCGAAGGGACGGAAGATATTCAGCAGTTTCGTCCTATTAGTTTGTTGGGTAGTGCGTACAAGTTGCTGGCGAAAGTTTTGGCTAATAGGCTGCGGTTGCAGGTGGGGGAGGTAGTGTTGGAGTCCCAGCATGCTTTTGTGGGTAGTCGTCAGATTTTAGATGCGATTTTAGTGGCTAATGAATGTATGGACTCTCGGTTGTGGGCAGGTCAGCCTGGTGTGATTTGTAAGTTGGATAATGAGAAGGCTTACGATAATGTCAGTTGGGATTTTTTGATGGCTGTCATGGAGCGGATGGGTTTTGGAGAAAGGTGGAGGCGATGGGTCTGGTTTTGTATTTCAACGGTGTGAATGTCTGTATTGGTGAATGGGACGCCTTTGGTTATTTCCAGATGTTTCGAGGATTGTAGCAGGGGGATCTGTTGTCTCCTTTGCTGTTTATTCTTGTCATGGAGGCGCTGAGTCGGTTGTTGTCTCGGGCGGTGCAGGAGGGCTTGTTGGAAGGTTTTTTGGTGGCAGATGGGGTTGTTGTTTCTCACTTGTTATACGCTAATGATGCTTTGATTTTCTGTGGGGCTGATCCCAAGCAGTTAGGGTATCTGCGATGTGTCTTGTTATGCTTTAAGGTGGTCTCAGGTCTCAAGGTTAGTTTGGCGAAGTTAGAGTTGATTCCTGTAGGGGAGGTTGTTCAACTTTCATCTTTAGCAGCTATTTTGGGTTGTAAGGTATCTCATTTACCGGTGTCTTATTTGGGGTTGCCTTTAGGGGCTCCTTTTAAGGCGAAAGGGGTGTGGGATGGGGTGTTGAACGGGTTTAACGCCGGCTTACAGGATGGAAGAGGTAGTAGCTATCAAAGGGGGGGAGGCTAACTTTGGTGAAGAGTGTGTAGGGTGGTATTCCGACTTATTTTATGTCAATGCATGTCATTCGTGTCGGTAGCTCGTCGGTTGGAAAAGCTGCAGCGCGACTTATGGGGAAGTGATGGTGTGGAGTTTCGGCATTATCTCATTAATTGGGATTAGGTGTGTTGCTCAAAGACGGCCGGGGGGTTGGGGGTGCGTAGGCTGTATAGGTTTAATTTGGCTTTGCCGGGGAAATGGCTTTGGCGGTTTTCTTAGGAACGGGATCACTTGTGGCATAGGGTGCTGGCTTCCAAGTATGGGTTGGGGCGAGGAGAGTGGTGTACTGAGGAGGTGGGGGGTTCTTTTGGGTGTGGGTTGTGGAAGGGGATTTGGCGGGGCAGGGTCCAGTTTTGGGATAGAATCCAGTTTCAGGTGGGCAATGGAACTCGGGTGCAGTTTTGAAAGGATAAGTGGTGTGGAGAGGTTACCCTTCTACAGCGTTTTCCTTTAATCTACCGTTTGGTGGTGGATCCTGAGGCGTTGGTGGTATCTTACTTGGCTGGAGGGGGTGAGGGGTTGGTTTGGGATATTGTTCTTCGTCGATATACGCAGGATTGGGAAGTTTGGTGGATTTGTTGGCATTCTTGTATGGGGTTTCGGTTCGGCGGGAAGGGGCGGATGTTTTGGTTTGGGGAGTTCCAGGGGCTAAAGGAGTTTTTTCAGTCTCATCATTTTATTGGTCCTTGTGTGGTAGTGAAGGGGGGGTTTTCCCTTGGCGTTTTGTGTGGGTCCCTAGTGTTCCATCGAAAGTGGTTTTCTTTGTGTGGACAACAGCTTTTGGTAGGATCTTGACTATTGACAATCTAATCCGTCGGCATCATATTTTGGTTAATTGGTGTTGCATGTGTTGTGTGGATGCGGAAACAGTGGACCATTTGCCGATTCACTGTCCGTTTACTTCTCGTTTGTGTGTGTTTATTTTCTCTTTGTTTGGTGTGGTGTGGGTTCAGCCGCAGCAAGTCAGGGAGGTTCTTCGTTGTTGGAGGGCTGGTCGAGTTAGGAAGCGAAGACGGAAGGCTTGGGCTTTAGCTCCTTTGTGTTTGATGTGGTTGCTTTGGTTAGAGCGGAATTGTCGGATTTTTCAAGGAAGTGCTCAATTCATTTCTTGTTTCGAGTCTCAGTTTTTGGGTGTTTTGTATAGCTGGGTGTCGGGAAGGGTGAATCCAGATTTATTTGTTATTTTAAATTTTGTTAATGATTTAGTTGGTTAGGTCCTTGTTTTGCGGGGCTTGTTTTTGTATTCTTTTAGCATCTTTTTGATGCTATGGTAATAAATTTTAATTATCAAAAAAAAAAAAGTATTTTCCTCAGGAATTTCTCTACTATTCTTCAAATAGTAATACATCCCTAACTTTACAAGTGCTAGTGAACCTTAACAACAAATGATCAAACCCCATCACTCCAACCAACTAGTTTTGAATCCAATGCTAGTCACACCTAACCCAAGTGATTTTGTCTCAAAAACCACTTACAAAAATATCACTCTCTTTTACAAGTACTAAGGGTGTGAAAACCCTTTTACAATTACAACAATGATTCATACCACTAAAAAAAGCACCACTAATGGGAATATCAAAAAAAAAAAAAAAAAAACAAGGCATAGGCAGTGGGAGGGGTCCACTGCCACATTATTAGTGCTCCCTCTAGTGCTCTCAACCATTTTTCTTACAATTAATGCTCAAACTCTCAATAAATTTTCTCTCAACAGAATATAACTCAATGAAGAACACAAGAAAATATTTTCTCAAAACTTTATCCCCAAAATCTGCTCTCTTTCTTCACTATTCATCTTCAACAAGAATGCATCTAATATATATATCTTCAAAATTCTAGCCGTTGGAGACAAAAGCTTCATGATGTGAAAATCTGCCAGAAAATCTGCGGCACCATTCTTGCACACTGCCAACTCATCTGTGAAGAAGAAAAGATGGGCCAAGGAAATAATGAAATAATGAAAAAATCTATTTTCATATTTTGTGTCAAATGATTGTAAAATATGTATTAAAAAAGCACAATATATCCAATAATATTTTAAACATCATCAAAATTAAACAATAGGATTAACATTCACTTTCTTAGTAAGAGGAGGCTTAAACTTGTACTACAAACGTATTCATATTTTTCTTTTGGGAGTTCCATGACAGTTTTTCCTTTGAGAATGGTAACTGATTGTGTTCTTCCACCTTTTTATTTTTATTTTTATGCTATGCAAGAACTTTTAGAATTACCTTAATTTGTTGTGTGGTTTAATTTTTTTTTTTTTAAACCTCTATACTGTTGTTGATTTTCAATATTGTTAATATATTCTTGAAGATCATGACATGTGTTATTGCTTTTCTGTTTTTATTTCTTATTTAACAGGACAAAGTTGGTAAGTTCATTGAGTCTATTCAAAGGGAAAGAAACAAATTATGTTGATGCAGCAGATGATTCATTCAGAAATGACAGGAACATAAATAGTCATTGCTTTATCTGATGTGTATTTTTATGTTTGTCATTGTTGGAAAAGGTCTTAGTAATGCTACTTTGCATTTTTCTTTTTCTTTTTCTTTTTTTAAGGGATGCACGCGATATCTGGTATTTGGTGTTACTCCTTTCTTTCTCTATCTACTCTCTTGTGGTGGTGGTGCAGTTGGGGTGGGGAAGAAATTATGTCAATACATGGAATTCACTTCTTAGATCCCTTTTGTTATCTTCATGTTTCATTTTCCACCTCCATTACCTGAACATATAGAGAATCTTAGTAAATCGAAGATAATAAAAATGATTAGCTGCAAATACTTTTTAATAACTTGACAGGGTTTTACTAATCATAGTTCAGGCATGCATGTGCAAATGTATATGTCAAATTTACTACATTCTGAAATTCCTTAAAAAAAATTGTGAATAATTAGCGTTTTGCAAAGGGCACAGATTGTTAGTTTCATACAATCATGTCACCTCATTTTTTACTTACAGGTTTCTTTAAGCAGTCAACTACTTTGAAAATGTTCACTGAGAATTGTCTTTCATTTTGGTTCTTAACATAGCATTTGAGCTTCTACATGTTTATGTTTGTAAGGAAGTTTGTGGAACATATCATTAGGGTATTGGAAAGCAATTTTTACATCCCTTTAGGTAATTTGTCTTCAATTTAAGTTGTAGTTTATTTGTAGATATTTTCTACAATTTGGTGCCTAAAACTGATTCAATTGATTCCTATATGAACAATGGTGGAGCAAAATTCTAACCTTAATAAGTTCTATGAGACTATGACATGACAAACAGCTCAGCCCACAAGTACAATTACACATGCATGAAATCCAATTAACTGCAATTATGATAAGTGAACCCTGTAATTTGATATTTCAACAAGCATTATTGGTGAAGGAAATCTCTCCAGTGGACAACGAACCTAGTAGTTCTTGAATAACATTAAGTGAAATGTTCCCATTGATAGTAAATTGATTGTCACCACTATTTTACTTTTGTGGACACATACATACTTGATGCAGCCTGAATAAGCTGTTTTTTCAATAAGAAAAGACAAAAAGATGTATATAATCTGAAATCAGAATAAAAGCGTATCACCCAAATAATCTCTTTGCTAGGACCTCTGCATATTTTTTATCAGTCCTATTGTGTTTTCCAAATGGAGTTGAAACTATGAATTTAAATACCATACTTGACAGGTTGCTCATAATGTTCAATGACATGTTATATGATAGAATCTACACAAGCCGAGCCCTTTAGTTTGTGTTTGAAGCTATCTTAGAGTATATACTATAGAGGAATTTACTGATGCATATCATATCCATATAATAAAGTTTAACATAATAAAATATTGTGGTGGAGATTTTCCTATTACTTAGATTTTTAAAATGGTAGGATAAACAAAAAGCAAAAAAAAAAAAATTTCTTACTATCACTACTCAAATGGTATCCATTACCTAGGATTCCTGTTTATTATATTTGATGCATGGTTAAACTTTATTTGGTACATGATGAGTTGAATTGCTTATCTTCTCAATATATAATATTGCTATTACCCTTACACCAATTTCCACATCATTACTATGAATGCAGTATGCCACATTGTGAAGAACTACATTGCTCATCTTCTCAATACTAAAGTTCCTCTGATTCTGGGTAAGTAGGCATGATTCCTTTTCATGGTTAAGGGGCAAGCTCAATAATATTTACTTGCTACCTCTCTGTTTGTCTGTCCATCTCTCTGTTGGATATGATTGAACTCTAGAAGAGGTCTGTACCTGCAGCTACAGGTCCTTCATCATATATGTATATATATATATATTTTTTTCAATTTCTTTTTGTGTTAGCTACAACATATTTTTCTGATGAGTGATGTTTATATTTATGCTGTAAAATATTCTGTATTTGTTTTTCCTACTCATTCGTCATGGCCTTTATCATTGGACAAATGAATGTCTTGAGTCTTTTAATCTCGTATCACATATTTCTGATGAAATTAGTTATATAATTATATTTAGATGAGATTATATGTGCATTCGTCTTGGGTGCCTGAATCAGGTCCGTATTTGTTTAGGCATCAAACTTCCTTAAATTCTAAATCCGAGGATATGGATAATCATCGCATCCCGTACATTCAAAGACATTATATCTCATATGGTATTATACATATAAGTTACTATCATTCAAGGATTATATCTCATATCATATTATACATATAAAGTTCCTATTATTCAAGGATGTACTTTAATACAATTAAAAGAAGAAAGTTTTTATATTTGTCTCTCCATTTGAAATGCAGGAGACCCTTATTTTTACTATCAATTTTGTTCTTAGTCTTCTTCTATCATCAGATGCAAAGAGTCTGGACATATTTTATTTGTATGCATTGCAGACATGTATGTAAGACATTCTACATCCATACCCATTCTTGTCTCACATGGTTCCATTTTGTTGAATGTAAAATTTACACAGGCATTTGGGGAGGAAAAGGGCAAGGCAAATCCTTTCAAACTGAACTTATTTTCCAGGCTTTGGGAATGGAACCAGTTATTATGTCTGCAGGGGAATTGGAATCAGAAAGAGCTGGTAAGTTGGTTCCTGGAAGTACCCTCGCTCATGCAAATTGACATTTCCTTTTTCCTTTATTTATTTATTTTTGATTTACTTTTGTGTTGTGAATATAGCTTTTTCATATTTCAAATGGAATTCTGCTATGCATACATAAATTAGTTGCCAAAACCTCAAGCTATTCTACTGATAGTCACATGTTTGTAGGTTTAATTTGATAACTCTTTCTTTTGGTTCTGGATTAAGAAAAATACATTTTCTTTCTCCCTTCAGAAGTGATTAATTTTTATTTAGCAAAATAAGAGATGGGATTCATGGGAACAAGTTTCCAACAAAAGATGTTATACAATCAAACCTACCAACTTTGAAGCAATTAAACATCAAACTCAAGAAATGTTGTTATGATGCTTATTAAATGTCTCTTTTTAACTGACAATCAAGGAGTGCCAAGTGGAAATGAAGGCGTTAAACCTTTCAGATATAGAATATCAAGGAGCTTGTGGCAAACTGCAAGCACTGTCTTCCCTTTATAATGCATCTGAAGATTGACAAAGCATATTTCTGAAGCAGTCTTCTCTTAAAGCCAAAGCTCCATTGTTCCTACTTGAAAGATACCATCAGTTTTGCTCAAATATGCAATATACCAAGACATCTGATAAACAGTCCCCCAATTATTATTATTATTATTAATTTAAGGGAAAAAAACGAGGAAACAAAGTTAAGAACATGTTGGGTTTACTTGAATCTAATTAGATCCTATTAAAAATTGTCTCTTATCACCAAATAAGAACAAATCATGCATAGTTATTGTTTATTTTTGTACTAAACACTCTTAGAAGTTGTATTATGTCATTTTCACTGTACAAAAAAGGTAAAGAAGGATCGGAATCTGTTAGACACGATAGTTTCAAGAATTGCATGAATCTTAGAAGTGGATTGAATTGTAAATTGATTGTGAATTGTGCAATTCACCACAGATTCTACCCCAAAATAGATTAATGCATTGCATAATCTATCCCAAAATAAATTAATGCATAGATTCATATCTATTTATGCATGAATCATGAATCAAATTGTAAATTGAACCATGATTCATAAGATTCTAAAAACAGAGTCCATTAGACATTGGTTCACCAACATTAGAATTTCTTCAGTTAAATCGTCATCAATCTAAGTAAGTAAAATCTATAGTTTTGAAGGAAGCAAAGGTTTTATTTTTTCAAAAGTGGAAGTTTCTGCAAGAGGCCATTGCATACAAGAAAAGAAAGATTACTTGAGAATACAGTTTTAATGTTTGACAGTGACCATCTGTTATTACAGATCTGGTCATCAATATAATTTAGCTAGTTCAAACAAGAACTACACCATATTGCAGCTTTATTAGTTCCTTTCTATGGCAAATAAAGGTACAAATAGTAATATAAAAGGACCATTTCACAGTACAACTCTCTTAAACACTATAGTATTCTTCATTGTGAATCCCGGATCTCTAATACATTGACAAATACTATTTCAACCATCCCATCCATTTCCCATTAGTAGAATTGATCATAATATTACTCAACTTCCACCCTAGCCTATTTTATCCTAACTCAACTAACTCCAACCAGTGGGATGAACAGATTTTACTTATCCTCCATGCATTATAATTTATATCATTACATACTTGCTAGCAATGTTTTTAAAACTGGACCGGGCTAGCTCGTTTGTCTCATTATTACATACTTGCTACCAACTCTCTTATTCGTAAATTGGAACACACTGGCTGATATTCTAGTTGCATTTTCTCCTCACCCCTCAGGTATTATAAATAGCTACTTATGCATATTTCAATTATATATAGATATCACTTATAAATTGGAATGTAGTTTGTGATATTCTTATTTCATTTTCTCCTCACCACTAACTTAAGCAGTATTATAATTAACTACAATGTCCTACAAAATTTACTTCCCATAATAGAATATAGCAAATTGCTGCTTTTCCTATGTCAGGAACATAGTTGATTCCCTTCTTTTACTTGAAAATTCAAATTTACAAAAAAATTTCAATTTAACAGGAGAACCAGGAAAATTGATACGTGAACGGTACAGAACTGCTTCGCAAGTGGTTCAGAACCAAGTTAGAAGCTCTATCACTTTCACTATTCATATATGTATGTCATGCGTTGTGAGATTTTTACATTGTTGTTTATTTGATTTATCATTCCATATTTTTTTCTTTTACTTTATTTGTCCCCCAAATCTCTCTCTTTGTTTATTTGAATGACATGTGAGTTAAATTTATTAAAACAAAATAGATGATGGTAGGGTAAATGACTAGGAAGGATTACAAGGAACAATATAATGGTTGATTGGACTTGTTAGGTTTCATATGCCGCTGAATTTTTTTTGTTCTCGTTGTTCTTCTGTTAATATGTACGTAAGTTAAGGTTACGATGGTCATATTACAATGTTAAGGTTTGTATATATATTTTACTGATGTAGAGTTTAGAAAAACAATTTTACTGAGATATGTAAAAATTCCTTCTCTTCTCTCATCTTCTCCTTCCTTCTTCTAAACCCTAACCCTAAACCCCTTCAATTCAGAATCTAAACCGAAGAGTAAAGAAGCCATCATAAACTCCTCTCAATGTTGCTTTTGTTTGTTCACATCAGTAGTGAAGGGTCTATGCTGCAATAATTGATCCCGCAAGGTCTTGAGACTATTATAATATTCGGGAAAAGATCGGCTAGATTGGCTCATAGCAAAAATTTTCACATATAACTCATAGACCTAAGATACATTACTCTGATTCGAAAAGGAGTCAGCAAGGGAGTCCCAAATTTCCTTAGAGGTATCACAAAATTCTACAGTAGTAGCAATATGTGGTTCCAGACTACGCCAAATCTAACCCATAACACATGAGTCCTCACTACACCAGTCATCATAAGTTTTATCATCAGGAGCAGGTGGGAGTTCACTAAGAAAGCAGGACATCTTCTTGCCGTGTAAGAAAACTTTGACAGCATGGGCCCAAGCCAAATAGTTGGCACCATTCAATTTCTTTATAGTGATAGACTTAGGCATGCCATCATCTTTACCTACAGCCAAAGCCTTAGCCTCAATCTCAGCCATGACGATCAATCACACAACTACTCAACAATCAAGCGCGAATAATTGAAAATTCTTGAAAACAATCATGACCCACAACAACCAGCACCCACAACAACCAATAGAGACAACCGAACTAGCTCAAAAAAACAAGAATCGATGGCAAATTAGATAGGAAGGGAGATTTAGACCAAAATTGCACCAAAAACAGTAACCCACTAACACAAATCAACAATTTAAGAGTAAATATCCAGTGCTAAACCATTTTTGGCCCCCATATGATTAATTCCAATAGATAGAAAAAACAGAACAGGTCTGTGGAACAGATACAAACCAAGGAGGCAGAAAAATGACCCAAAAAATCAACCCAATCAGTAGCAAACAACAAATTAATAGCAAAGGGCCCTAGATTAGGGTATTTCGACACCTATAGATTAGGTTGTAGCAAAAAGATCCAGCAAAAACAAGCCCCAAAACTAGATTCAAAAAAATGCACCAAAAATCACAAAAAACATTTGAAAATAGAAAATTCACTTAAGGGATAATAAAAAAATTCTACAAAAATCAGCATAATTCTCAAAATATCATTTCGAGGCTAGAGGTGAAGGTTCCGTCCGTACAGTGATGATGTCATGCTGACGTCACCGTACGGTTGATGACGTCAGCACATCTCGGTGACCTCAACTCAATCTCTAGAATCTGTAGAACACTTTCTAATGAAGAATGGCTCACTCTAATACCAAGTTAGAAGGTAAATGAAGAGAGTTAGGAGGAAGAAGAAGACGAGAGAAGAGAAGGAATTTTTATATATCTCAGTAAAATTGTTTTTCTCAACTCTACATCAGCAAAATATATATACAAACCCTAACATTGTTATATGACCCTAACATTGTAATATGACCATCATACTATCAACTTACGTACATATTAACAGAAGAACGAGAACGAAAATAACTATTCTAACAAATACCCTAACTGTCTCTTATGATAATAATATGACTGCATTGAGGAGATACTACTTCCATTTAGAATGTTTTTATCTGATTTTGGGTGGATTCTGAAAAGATTAGGCAATAAATTAAGTGATAGCTTTTCATTGTAAAGCTGCATGGCCCAACTTTTGCAGAAACTGGTTTTACAATTACTGATAGGAGATTTCTATGGACCAAGATTTCGTTGATACAGTGAATCTGTGTCATGTAGTACTTCTGTGGGAGATCTAGAGGATACAAATTTTCTGGAAGAGAATATGATGATAATCTGAGCACAAAGTGCACTGCTCATCCAAAAATAAAATCTATTCAGCATCACCTTCAAAGCAAAGCTTGGAAATTGAAGTGCCAATTATTCATTGGTGAACAAAACTCAAGTACTCAACGTGGTCAATAATGTATCATACACTAGATGAAAATAATGAGAACTGTATATATGCATACACACAATTCTATGTCACCAACTGTTCCATTAAGCTGTAGTTTGACTTCTAAAGTTCAAGACCACCATGTTCACCTTCTTTCAACTGGTGTATATCTGCACTTAGGGATTCAATCAGATTAGTGATGATTCAATCAGTATGTTTTTCTTCTCGCTTACAGATTTTTTTATCTTAAATTCAACTCCCACCATTCATTTTGTGGTTCTTTCATTGTTTCGAATCCACATTGACCGGAGGTATGCAATTGTTATGGGTTGGAGTACCCCTCTTGAGCTAACTACTTGGATGGGGCTTCAACTTGCCTTCTCTATTGTCATGCCCCAAGTTTCGTGACAACGCCGCACACTCATTTAAGTGAGCATGCAAGGCTAAGAGTCCAACACATAACCAACAATGTAAAATACTCAAATTAAATCCTTAAATATCATAATGCTAAAAATCATACAAATAGATAATTCTTATCATATGAAATTGTCCACCAAGTCCACTAATAAAATAAAAAATAATAATCCAAGTACTTAAATCATAGTCCTACTCTCGGCACTCCCCCAAGTAAAAATCCCGCGCAGCTCTACTCCTCAGAATCTGGAAAAAAAAAATAAGGGTAAGCTAGACAGCCCAGTAAATAACCAACCATCACTGCTAGCTGGATCAAGTATACAAAAACAAATAAATAAATAGTCGATAACCAATAAATATAATTTTTGTTACAATTCAATAAATGAACAATTATTTATAAGATGATTTCATAGCTAAAAATAAACAATGTACAATATATTTTAATTGAAAAGCCAACAAGATAATTCAAAGTAAATTCGTTGTTCAAATCGATGGTTCGATATTCAGATGGTTCAATAATTTGATTCACAAACCCAAGTCTTGGTGATTACGGTCACTTAGCCTGTGACAAGGTCCAGAACTACACATAGGCCGGTGGTAAAGCCCGAAAAGAAACTAGTTTCTGTGCTAATAAATAACCCCCATTGGCTAAGGTCCAAATCATAGTCAGACTAGAGTGATGTTCAAAATTCAAACAATACACAACTTTTAAATAAAATATTTGATATTTTCCGAATAAACATTTGGTATAATTTTCAGAATAGTTTCATAAAATATTCAAATAACTTTCATAATAATATTCGATGTTGTTTTATACTTGACCCATATTTTATTTTAAAAGAACATGAAGACTATAAATAAATATTTATAATTTTAAACGATTCAGTAGGAATAAAAATGAACCAACAGTGATAGAGGGTTACTTACACTAAACGCTTAGAAATAATATTCCAACACCAACTCTAAACACCTAGCTCCATCACTTCAACCACACAAACCTAATAAACAAAATCTCAAATAAATTAATATTTTTACGTGTTACATACACCCACAAAAGCCCCACCATATTAGATTAATGTATTGCTTTAATATCCAAGTGATCAAACCATTCAACCCAACTTTATAGCCAAACGCACCCTTACCCATGATACAAAACTCTATTGTTTTTATTACCCACCCAAAGTTACACTTACACATTGCACCCAATTCTCAAAACCTAAGTAGGCACCTATAGATCTTCCAAATCCCCTTAATGCCTTGATTGTTAAATTCCTCAACATAAACTTAATAATTAACAGTAAAGACAGATTTTACTTTAATCAATGGGTGTCCCAAAATCACCAACGTGCTGCCTCCAATCCCTATTGCAGCCTCACTTGAATCTCTCTTCTCTTTTTCTTTTCTTTTTTCTTTTACCTTCTCAAACCCTAGCCGCCTATGGAGCAATTCCCAGCCTCTGTTTTGTTTGTTTTCCAAGACTTAAAGCCACAACAGGTGGGCTTATTAACCTAATTTCTCAAAGTTACAAAATTACCCATCCAAGTAATAGAAAATATAATGCCATCTCATAACTAATTCTTTGATATTAATAAATGACCCATATAAATTAATTTAATTACTAATCTATCCAATAAAATAATTCTACACACAACTTGGGTTTTACATCTATGTTTCTTTTTCTTCTTATCATCAGCCTTGAGAGTACCATGGCTGTTGTACCTCCATTTTTCTGTGAATTAATTGGAGATAATTTACAGAATGTAGCCTGATGCTTTGATGGCCCAACATGTGTAGGCTAGGATTTTGGATCAAAACAGTGTGTCTGGATGCTGATAATGAAATTAAATCAATAACTAGATTTTAAAAAAAAAATTCCCTAAAAACACATGAACTGGCTATACAAAACCAAAAAATTCTTGTTTTGCTCTTCGATATGGTGCAGGCCAGCTTAGAATACAAAAGAAGATGCTTTTTTTATCTTCTTTATTAAGTGCCATTGAAGTGTTCCCTTGCAAAAAAATAAAAATAAATAAAAATTTCCTAAGCGTAACCTTTGTTTGAGTATTTAACCTTCTTAATTGCTCCATAATTTACAAATGAGATGCTAAAGTTGAATGCTATGATTTGCTCTAAAATGGATATGACTTTGCTTACATGAAATATTTTGAAAACCTTCACAAGTATTGGAGAGGGGGTTGGCAAAATATACTAATGACCACAAAGATATTTATGTGAGCCTAGAGATTATTTCATGCATTCCACCTTCGATACAGAAACAGATACCACCACTCCTCAATTAGTGCCCTGTCACATAATTGAGCTTGTGCATGTCACAAAATCATAATCATTCATGAAACTTTTAATTCAGGATGATAGCTATCATGAAACTATGACAGCATTCTGCATATCATTTATTTAGGCCAGTGGTTGCTCTCAGTTAGTAGTAATAGTGATTTATTCTAGATGTGGGATTCCAAACATTCAGAAGCCATCTCTGGGTTTGGTAAAAGCATGTATAATGTTACAATTTCTCTACAGATTTCATGAACTATGTGGTGAGAGGAGTTAACGGACTCAAAAACTTTGACTTTGACCCAAATCTTTTTCATGTGAAACTTGTTTGTCAAACCTGAGGCAATGTATGTAATCATAGCTGACTTGAGTCAACCTTTTCACTTCCTTCCCCTTTTTTAATTCCTCGGACTCAGTCCCAAACTAGAGGCTTTGTACCACTTGTCAACAGTCCAAGGTTATTATTTACGTGTCCCATTTATATTTTGTTTATCACACAAAGCATTCAAAAGGTAGAAAAGTCATTGATGTTGTTTAGATCCACTGTAACATAACCTCTTTTTGATTGATACAATTGCTGGCATTATGTCTAATGTAAGATGATATTGGCTTCTTCTCTTGATTAAAGATTCTGGAAAGGTGAGAGGCCCGATATGGTTTTTTTATTTTTTGATCCGCAACAATAGATTATTGAATTAAATACTGTGCTAAGGGGGTCTCCTTATATTCATGTCAACAAGCTGATGGATTTTCTTATTTCTTATTATTCTCCTACTTTAAGCTATCAATGCAGTTTATTTTTTTCCTTGACTAATACAGGGGAAGATGAGCTGTTTAATGATCAATGATATTGATGCTGGCCTTGGCAGATTTGGTGAGCTGCAGTTTGACGTTTATTGGGCATGTGTTCTATGTCTTCATCCTGAATTCATGGAATGATATTATAATTCTTTTTATTTTCTAATTTCTCTGATGAATATATGTATTCTTCCGTTTTTATTTAGGAAACACTCAAATGACAGTCAACAATCAAATTGTTGTTGGGACTTTGATGAATTTGGCTGATAATCCTACAAGAGTTAGTATTGGTCAAGACTGGAGGGAATCAGATGTTACAAACAGAGTTCCTATCATAGTTACAGGGAATGATCTTTCAACAATCTATGCTCCCTTGATTCGTGATGGAAGGATGGACAAGTTTTATTGGTATGTGTATTAATTTAATGGTTTCTGATCTTGCCTGCAGCAAATCATCAAACTACAAAGTAGTTGTCAAATTGAGAATTGTGTGGTGAATTGAATCAAATCAAGAATCGTTAAGATTTAATGCAAATTATAAAAAATAATGGACAATTTTATATATGAAAAAAATGAAATAAATTTATTTTGACACAAGTTTTAAAATAGATCTTATATAAGGACATAATTATATCATTTAATTGGGTAGACATTGCCTTCATAACAAGAGATGTGGGTCCAAATCCGACCAACTAAAAAATAATTTTAAAATCATAGCATAATTTCCCTTGACATTCATAAAATGAATCTAGGAACCCTAGATAGAGTATACTAATAAGAAAAAATTAATTGGAATTCTTTATTTCAAAATTTAAATCACTTTAAATGTTATGTATGTTTATTGTTCAAAGAAAGTAAGAAGTAAAAATTAATAATTTGTGGAACCGTAAGTTTTAACTAATTTGACTCATGTAATATTGAACTATTTATTTCACAAAAATTGCAGTAGATAATTCATGGGTGGTAAATTACTTTTAACTTTGAACATCCTTAGAAGATATATATATATATATATATAGGAAAAAAATGAGGTGAAAATGTTGAACATATGTTGGGACTCTTACTGAATTTGACAGGATCTGATTAAAAAATCCCATGATTACTAAAATAACAACAAATCGTCCATATGTATTGGTCATTTTCGTACTAAACATTCTTAGAAGTTGTATTGTCGTTTTATTTATAAATAAATAAAAAAAAGAGGTAAAAGAGGGTTGGAATATGTTGGACAAGATAGTTTCTAGAATTGCATGAATTGTAAAAAGTGAATCAAATTATGAATCCATTATGAATCATGCAATTCACCATAGATTCACTCCCAAAATGGATTCACCCAAAAATTTGTATAGATTATGCATAAATCGCGAATCGTAAGATTTTGATAATAGATGAGCTTTTTGGAAACTTATTGGTAAGACATGAGAACCATTGTGTGAAGAATCATATAATTTAGAAATTCATAAATACACACCTTTATCCTCTCAATGTATCTAGGATCTCTATGAGTTGCTACATTAAGTGTTAAAAATTGTGGATAATGGAGTATGAGATCGCTGGGATGAGGTGGTTTGGGAAGATCGTAGGTGCTCAGCTGCCAAGGGACCACCTGAGGCAAAGGAGGAGAGAGCCAAGGGCACCCTAGAAGAAATAGAAGATGGCAGTGGGGAGCAATGCATTTGCTGGAGAGAAGTGTTATTGTCAGTGTGTCTTCCATACATAGGGAAGATCCCCTTTTATAGGGAGATTAGTCTATTGAGATATTTTCTTTTCTGTTTTTTTTTTCTTCTTTTTTCTCCCTTTTTCTTTTAATATCATGTCTTTGGTCTATCCAGCCCCAAGATCCCTGTCTTGGAATCTCCTAACCAAATATAACCTGTCATGGAATCTTTGTCCCTCAGCCTTCTGTAGTCAACAATCAATGGAGAATCCTTACCTCAGTATGTTAGGTTGTCTTTAGAGATATCAAAATATCATGTCTTTGGTCAGTAATGCTTCTCTCTCTCTCTCTCTATAAGGTTGGTCAAGGGGGACCATCCCCAAAGGGGGTCAAGCACCCTGGACACTTCATTGACTCTAGCCTCCAAGCCACAAATTCTCCAAGGATCCTGGGCGGTTCCAACCTAGGTAGTTGTTGGGATCAATTTCATTTGTTAATGGTCTTGGCTTAGAAACACAGACACAGGGTATAGACACGAAACAAAGCAATTCTATAAAAAAAAAAAATGATACGAATCACTTGTTAATGATCTTGGCCTAGAAACACAGACACGGGTACGGACATGGAACAAAGCAATTCTAAAAAAAGATAAGAACATGACACGGATATTGCAATTTTTATATATTTTATTTACTATGTATATGAATATAAATTTAGGATACATAAATATGAGAAGCATCGATGTATATGTGGGTGTATTTTTATTCATTTTTACTTTTTCCCTCTTCATTTCCATTTATTTTACTTAACCCCAAATCAGCTTTCTTAACATATAGTTAAAAAAGAAAAGAAAAAACCTACAAAGGTATCCCAAGGCATGTCCAAACACAACGCGTGTCCATGAAGTGTCCCCAACATGTTCTACAAGAAATATAACAGTTAAAAAAAATTTGACATGCCACATGGCATGTCGAACACATGGACACGTGTGTCACCACCATGTTGGTGTCCCCACTGTGATTTTTCCTAGAGTGGTCCTAAAGTGATAAGGTTAGGGTTTGGGAGTTGAAAGGTGATAAGGTTAGGATCCGAAGGGAACAATCCGGAAATAGAAATTCAGAGAGGGGCTAAGAATTCTAGATACATGTACGTGTAAGACTATACATCATAACTTCATACTACAAACATCATGGACATCTAGACTTGAGCGAATCATCCAAGATACTTCATGATCCCCATCCCTTCTATTCTCCTAGCATCCTCGGTTAGAAAGGACCAGCTCTGGTAATATAAGATGCAATCCTGTGGTGCTCTCCAACATTCTTTGTGTTTTCTTTGTGGAACAGGCAACCTACTCAGGAAGACATCATTAGTATTGTTCACAAAACATATGAGAAAGATGGCATATCAAAGGATGAGGTTGAAAGCATAGTAAACACATTTCCTAATCAAGGTATGTTTAGTTTTACATGTCTTGATAAGTAATACTTGTATTATAATGCACTAAATTTGTTGAAAATTTTGGACACCATTGTGGTGACTTTGCTTTATCATGTGTAATCAATTTTTCATGCCATAGTACTGTTGTAAGTTGCATGAACTTCCTTATACACAATATAAGTACAACCACATCCAAATTCATACTCGTTCTGTACATCCATAGTCATGTTACGACAACATTTTACGTTTTTACCTGCACCAAAATATGCTTTAGTTGTGTGACAACATGGAAAATACAGTGCCAATAATGTCACAGTGCTGCTTCTTGTCATACTGTACATTGAAATGATTGTTTTGGCAGAATTTTTAGTAGATATACCAGGAAACATGTAGGCAATAATAACCTTTTCTTTCTTTTAATAATTGCGCAGCCTTGGATTTTTATGGAGCACTTAGGTCTCGAACATATGACAGGTCAATCTCTAAGGTACCTATCATTCTGCCTTTACATATGGAATATATATATATATATTTTTCATATTTAAAGTTAGTTTAGTTTGCATGGATTTCATATAATGGCTTTGCTACCCTTTATCAGTTCATTATGTCACATTCTCCACTTGTGGGCCTTTTCTCCACACTTGAGTTGCACCATATTTTAATGATCATTGTTTTATGGTTCAAATATTATCTTTAAGAATTAAATGTATGACAATGTATGAAATAAGAGACTCACGACGAAATTTTTAATTCAAAGAGGAAATCTGTCATATTTGTTTTGGTCAAACCATTAAATGTCATTAAAATAACTAGCAAAACAGAGATTGCTTAATTTCACCAGATTCAATTACAGAGTAACACATGGTTCTGACATTGCCTCAATCCAACATTTTCCGGTTACTTCTTTACTTGTGCTTTAGCTTTCCCATTGACACGGCAGCTCAATTGATTTAGATTTTTATTTGCATAATGTTCATTGCATCTAATAAACATGAATGCATATAATACTTGACAACCTAAAACTACATATAAAAATGTTAGTGCACAAGGCTCCTGTTACAGCAAGGTTTGGGAGAGCTAGGGCACCCTTAACCCCCACTTCACGGAGAAGCTGATTCCTGTGGCTCAAACCTGCGCCACAAGGCTGGGGGTGTATAACACATACTTGGATGACCTTTAAAACATTAAACTATGTATGATATGCTTAATAAGAAAAACAAACCATTGTAAGAGGACACAGATGAACTAAATTTTAGTATTGCATTGTTAATATAAACTGATAGTTAAATCATCAATGAACTTCAAAAAACATATAGCATTAGCATATTTAGGTAATTCCAATTTACATATCTTTTCTTAAGTTAACAGTCAATAGTTGCTCCATTGTTTATTATTACCACTACTATTTAAGTTAGATGGTTCATTGTCATCATTTGGAAACTCACGATGACTTGGTGTCAACTTATTAATGAACATTTTTGTTCAACTACTTCTCAATTGTAGTGGATTGACGATGTTGGAGGTGTTGAAAAACTTGGAAACAGACTTCTCAAGCAAAGAAAGGATGATAAACTTCCTGTGTTTGTTCCCCCAAGCGTAAGCTCTTAACTGCAACACTACTATCTGCTTTTGAAATCAGTGTTTCTCTACAATCCTTGACTTTCTGTGAAAGGCCTAACTTTTGAATCATGGTCTTTCATGAAGGTTAAAATTAAAATGTTGTAAGTTCAGTTTATTGAGTAATCATTACTTGAAGCGCTTGTGAAGGAAAGTGCTTTTTGTTTCCAAATGGGCTTTTGAAATGTCTTATAGCTATACCGAGAATTTCTTTACTGAAATGTAAGGATAAAGTTGATGCTGATTCTGATGAGACCAATGGAACTATCTCATACAGTTAGCTCAATAAGAAAATGGATCAAATTTTACAGAAGAAAACATACAGGACTGAAAGAACTTTTAATGAATGTTGAGCAAAATGTATACATACATACAATTGTTTGATAAAGGCTTGTCACATTTGCTTTAATTGGATTTGGGATTTATACTCAAAATGGGTCATTGAGGTTTTGAGGACTATTATGCTTCGTTTTCTTTAATTTAAAAATTGAGCTAGCTAGTTGAAATGTTTTTAAGCTTTTATACTTTCTTCTAGTTGTATCATGTTGGAACTGGTTTGCATTTGGTTGAACAGCAAACGGTGGAAGCTTTACTTGAATCGGGATATTCTCTTCTCAGAGAACAAAAGCTGATAATGGAGACTAAACTTTCGAAGGAATACATGAAAAATATTGAAGACTAGCAAGTACCTGTGACACCACTGCAGTATCAACCATCTGCATTGGTATGTTTGTATCGGCTGCTTTTATGTTTTGGTGTGTATTCTATGTACAAAGGGTATTATAAATGACAATTAAAACTTGTTCTCTCTTTTTTCTTATTTAATAATTTAACCTTTCAAGACTTGTTGGCACCATTAAACTGACATAATACCCGGTCATTAAAAAAAAAAAAAAAGTAATAAATAATGCTCATCATTACCATTATTGTGTTGCTATTTCAGTTTTAAAACTGTGTTCAGTGGGCATGTTTTGAAGAATCTTTCAACTCAAATTTCAGTTTTTTTTTTTTTGTTTTTTTGTCCTTGGTTAAAAAAATTTAATTTATACTTTAGTCTCTCTCTTTTCTTTTCTTTTTTTTGTCTTTTCCCCCCCCTTTTTTTTTTCCCTTTTTAAAAGACTTTTTAGATTTACATAAATGCACTAAATATATATATATATATATATATATGTGTGTGTGTGTGTGTGTGTGAAAGAATTGGGGAAAAAATGGGTTAATTGATGAAGAGTCCATTCAACCATATGTTGGCCTTGTTTGGGACGTTTACTATTTTAGTAGGCTAAAATATTTGTGTTTGGGAAGAAGGTTAGATTATTTTTGTAATTAGATGTGATGTTTGTGAGAGAAAAAGTGAAATGATTATGGATTTGATGTGACATTTTGTTTTATTGACTATTTTAGTCTATTTTATTTTTTTGTGAATTTTAGCCTAAAAAAGCAAATTTTTGGCTTCCCAAATACCCTTGTTATTTTGTCGAAGGTTTAATCTTTTATTTATTTATCATAAGAACATGTTGAAAAGTCATCAATGTTGGAAAAATTAGCCGAAAAAGTCGTCACAAAGTTGTTAGCGGCCGGCTACAGCTGATAGCAGTGAGGTGGATAGATAAGTGATATTGAACAGATAGATGACACATGTACAGATAGTGAGACATTTTAACCGACATTTTAACCGATAGTTGGATAGATATGTGACACGTGTACATATAGGTGATATTTGAACAAATAAGTGACATTTGAATAAACATGTAAGTTTTGAATAGATAAGTGGCCTGTTGGTTCAAAAAAAATTTAAGTGGCCTAAGAGTTTAAGAAATGGGCCTATGGCCCGAGTGTGTAAAAGAAATCATTAAAGTTGTATTTGATTGGGGAATTTGGGAAGGAATTTGAAAAGGAAAAGAGAAAAAGTAGGTGAAATATGAATAAAAAATATATATATTTCACCTAGTTTTATTCATTTTTTTCCTTTCTCTTTTTAAATTTCTTCTCAAATCTCCCAACTAAACCAGTGTAAAGGAAAAATATGGAAATATGTTATTTTATTTTTTTTGAAAAAGTAAATTAAGACAAATAAAAAAAAATGTCATAAAACTAAAGGAAGTAAAACAGAAAGAGCCACAATAGAATAAAAAAAAAAAAAAAAAAAGGGGACTAAATGAGAAAGCTAGAAAGTAAAGGGCCAAAGGAGATTTCTTTTCTTTCCTTTCTTTTCTTTTTTGATGGATGTCAATTACAATGTATATAGGTTTTCTTTTATAAGCATTAATACATGCATACTAATGAGAAATCCTATTCTAATTACGGCGTCACCTTAAATACATGGGAAAAAATGATTCAGACCTCTAAAAAAAGACGGAGCTCTAATTTGTCTTTTTCTTCCTCTTCTTTTGTCTTTTATTTCACTATTTTTTTTCTATTTTTTATTTTTATTGCTTGACAGCTCACTAGAGCTGTACAGCTGCACCTCTAATTAGAGGTCTGCAGCAGCGTTGAATACATGGGAGGGAAGCAACTTGTGTGAGGTTATCCGCATTTCACACAACACTTCCCCCCTTGAATAATCATATACTAAGAATATGGCTCTTTATCCACATGTTACACAACAAATAGCACATTTTTAAAATTTTTTTTTTATATATTTAGTGAATTTTTTTATATTTCTTCACAAATATTTTTTATTAAAGTGCATCTAAAATGTAAATTCATTTGACAATAGCACGAAAAAAGTTTCAAAAAAATAAAAATAAAAAATTGAGAAACAAAAAACTTAAAAAATAATTTCTAAAAATTAAACCAAACAAAGTGAGTAATGCTAGGATATCCTATTTTGATACTCAAATTTGATCACATATTGTAAATGTCTTCGTAGTTCTTGTAATATATTTAGAGCCTATGTGAGCTCCTCCATATAAGTCGAATCAGGAAAACAATTTTGCAAATTTAGGCATAAAATGCCATAATGTAAACATCTCTCTCTCTCGTTTTCCTTTTTTTGTTTGCTATTTATTTTATTCATCAGTAAATAAATAGTTCAAGGTGGTAAAACTACTTTCTAGTCCAAATATTGTCATTTTTGGTTGTTGAAAACATTTTGAACAAGTTTTTCTGTTTGTAGCTAATTTTAAAATGGTTATTTTCTACAGAGAATGGTCCTGTTTGGTAGAGCTGTGGAAAAGTGATTATAACTTATAGCCTAACAGCTTATAGCTTATAACTGTGAACATAAGCTGATTTTGGACTTATAAATTAAGCTTCTCCTTCCCCACTCAAAGAATAAATTGATTTTTGACTTACAAAAAGCTATAAGTTGTATTATTAAGCTGAACCAAACACATCAAAATAGCTTAAATTAAGCTAAAAACTGAAATAAGTTGGAAATAAGTCCTACCAAACAAGGCCAATGTGTACTCCCTCCAAGGTATTAAGTTCAAAATTTTTTAGGTGTAAATAATTTTTTGGCGCTAAGTCATATGGGGTTTTATTCTGATTTTAATTAAGACTCTCGCAAGTGAACGGTGAGATTGATCCTTGAATTAGTCGGTCCAATAAGTCAGATACCAAGTTATAAAGAAAAGAAAGAGAAAAAAGAAAAAAGAAGTCCTATTGAGTGAAATTATTTACTCATAAATTTTGACTGATTTTTTTTTTTAAAACTTATTTTTCCCTTGTTTTGATAATAAGAAAATTTTGAAACTACTTAGATATATATTGTGTTTGTGAAATAATCATTTGGTGTTGATAATCATACTGATAAATTTATCAAAGTGATTAATGATTGCGATATTTTGACTTTTGTTTATGAATTTTGATTTATTTCTAGTTTACTAATGATTGCGATATTTTGACTTTTGTTTATGAATTTTGATTTATTTCTAGTTTACTCATGTTAATTTGTATTGAAGTATGATGTGAGAAAGTAGTTGAATTTTTTTTATTTATTTATAAATTTACAATAATAAATTTATCACTGAAAATTGAAGTTAAACTTTTTAATAAATAAATCCAGTTCACAAGACCGGCTTGTAACCGCCCTTTGTATTTAGAACATAGGTGAATTTAAAAACAAAGAACTATATCAATTAATTCAATAGCCTGATTTTCAGATAAAAATAATTTTTAAGATATCTTTTTTAGTATCCATTTGGATTGTACTTCTCTCATTCTATTTGCACTCACATAATTACTTAGTCTGCCCAAATTTTGAAATTTTAGTTCCTATTATACCTTAATATAAATTTATTAATAAGGACAATACATATTAAATCCTAACATAAATTTTTTTTCCCCCCTCATTGTACACCCTAATAATTTATATATATATTGTTCATATTCAAGTATCTTTATCTTCTTTCTCAAGTTTCAATTATTTTCTCTTCATTTTCTTCCTCAATCGAAAACTCCAATTCACCACATCAAAACTCACAAGTATCATTGATATTATTATTTCTTATTGTATTGTTACTTCCAAATAGAAGAAAATTTGAACAAAATCAAACAATAAATAAAAATAACAATAATAAAGGTTTTTTTAAATTTTTTTTATTTATTATGAGAGGTATGAGCCAAACGCGTTCGGATCTTCTAGAGTGTTTTCCTAAAGTGATTCAGTGGAGTGGTTTCACTATGGTGCGACATCTGTCCCACTTGAGTAACTAAGAGTTGAGATCAATTCTTCACCAAAACGACGCTGTTTTGGTGATGGAATTCAACAAAAACCAAAACAACATCGTTTTAGTGATGGAATTCAAAAAAAAAAATAACAATAATCTTCCTTCAGCTTCAGAACGTAACTGTAAGTGAGAGAGAGAAGGGGTTGAGCAAGAAACCTACCGACGAAGGAGTTCGCCGCCTTACCGCCCCGCCGCGGATGAAACCCATTGAACACACTTTCTCCTCTCAATATCAAAATGAAAAACTATCTTGATAATTTAAAAAAAAAAACAGGGGTTTGAGAGAATATGAGTTCACCAAAACAACGTCATTTTGGTGATGGAATTCAACAAAAACCAAAACAACATCGTTTTAGTGATGGAATTCAAAAAAAAAAATAACAATAATCTTCCTTCAGCTTCAGAACGTAACTGTAAGTGAGAGAGAGAAGGGGTTGAGCAAGAAACCTGCTGACGAAGGAGTTCGCCGCCTTACCGCCCCGCCGCGGATGAAACCCATTGAACACACTTTCTCCTCTCAATATCAAAATGAAAAACTATCTTGATAATTTAAAAAAAAAAACAGGGGTTTGAGAGAATATGAGATGGATCACCAAATCAAAGAAGACAAAAAAGATTTAAACTGAAATTAGTTGAAAACCCAATTCAAAAAGCAGTGCAAAATGAAAACCCAAATCTTGATTTTGGTCGGAAAGTAATAAAAAAAAACCCAAATCTTGATTTTGGTTGGAAAGTAATAAAAAAAACAAATTGATGACCCAAATTTTCAAATGTAAGTTTGATTTCAATTTTTCAAATTTGGGTTTGATATGAAACAAATTGGTGACCCCATTTGTTTTTGTTTGATTTCAAACAAAAACAGAACATAAAACAAAAGGCAATTAATTTTAGAGTAACCCATCCCAAATCTCTGAAATTGAGAGAGATGATTGAATAGAAATTTGAAATCTCAGAAATTTTACGAGCTACTGAAATTGGTAGAAGTTTGGAGGACAAACTTAATATTTTAAGTTTGGAAGATGAATTTGTTAGATCTGTTGAAGTTTTTTGACTAACAGCTTTTTGAATCCCAATGCAACCACTCCTTGTCGGCGGTGGCAGAGCAAGGCAGCAACTCCTCAGCGAGAGGTCCTCTCTCTCACGTTCAAAGGATCTGAACAACTGAAACCAAAAAAAAAAAAAATTCCTGAATTCCCTCACCAAATCGACGTCATTTTGGTGAGTTTAAATCTCAGCCCTTGGTTGATGAGTTAGCCACGTGTCAGCTGCCTCTCCTTCACTATAGGAGATCATTGTAGGATATTACTCTAGAGGATCTCAACTCGAGCCAAACAGCTTACACAACTATTATTCTATCAACCAAAACATAAGAAAGGAGAGGCTGGGACCCCTTCCATCCAAACACTTGGTTGCTCCAATTGGATAGCCATGGGAGCAAACAAGTGAGCTGCCTTGTTTCTGTGCCATTCGTTTAGTATGTGCACAAGAAGAAGATCGAAAATCTCAAAGAGTACTCCGGATCCCTTGAAAGGGTTTTTAAAAATATTGTAATTTCTGATTTTTGATTTGTTTATTATTTAAGTGAACCTTGAAGGGTAGGGTGTATTGAGAGTAAATTATAACCTTAAATAATTAACAGGGAGTACTGAAAAATTGGGCGTACTAAATGATTTTTTTGGTGCAAATAGAATCCCCCGTTCATTCAAATCTGAATTTCAGAAAATTTGAGGGCCCGGGAAGCCTATGTGACCATCACGAGATGAGGTACAACCAGCACCAAAGCAGATTCCTCAAATAATATATAAACATTATTTCATTGCAATATATTTATAAATATGGAATCGAAACATTTGTGCTTATATATATGAAGAGACATTCAACCAAAGATGGTAATTGCAGGAAACAGGGAGGAAAAATATACTCTGTAAAAAATCAGAGATGTACAGACTATTAAACGTACTGGTTGACATCTTTCCATTTTTTCTTCCCAAATGCTAAATAGTACTCCAAAGTGATGCATGATTGACAATACCAGCATATGAATCTGCCTTCAAAATAAAAATCCTGGCAAGAATTCACCATGAAGCACCAAACCTAGAATTAAACAAGAGCACCTGCATAACATCCAGTCTCAAATTAAGAATCACACACAGAATTCAAGCATTCTTGAAACCAAATTTATTGTTGAGAGAGAGAGAGAGAGATGGGAAATCCAACCAATAGATATTGAGAAAGCCTAAGTGCAAGGAGGATTTTCACAGAATGGTATCACTTTCTGTGTCTCAACTTGTGAATTTTTTCTGCCTTCTTAGCACATCTGATAGATATACATTGTTTGGCCATATGTAATCTTTAGCCTTAAAACCAACTTTACTACTGCCCTTAAAACCAATTTTCCTCCCATAATGCTTTCATTTTATAAAGTTCAACAAACAGAACCATATTTTGTCTAGTTGTTCCAATTTGTCTTCTTCTTTTTATTTTTTTTGTGTGTGGCTGTTCCATTATAGTGCAAATTTAAGAAACATTTTTCTCAATCACAACAGAAAGCATGATAAGCAAAACAAACGGAGATCAAGTAACTACCCTACAAAGAGGTGTGATGCTTAAAACTCATGCTCCAAGGCACCTCATTCATTACCTTACATGCCCTCTTAAAAATGCTATAGTTACATTCTCATGAAATTGCTTTAACAAATATGAATCAGCTCGCATGTGCACGTGTGTGTGTGTGAAAGACAAACGCATGCACATCCTCCATTTTAAATTAGGGAAAATTCCCATTAGGTCTTTTTTTTTTTTTTTTCATACTATTCTCGTTAAATCCTATTAACACATGAATTAATTCTCTGATTATAGTGTTAACAGGACAACATGGGAATTTTATGGGAAAAGTAGGACTTATTGGAAATTTTCCCTCTAAATTATATTGCTAAATGAATCACAAATGTAGGTTTAGATGGCAGATGACAAACATATTATGAATGCGGTTCAGTAAGTACCTGTACATGGCAGCACCAAAACAGCCAACGTTTTAGCCGCTTTGAAGTACCTTCAGCGGATCTAGTTGTCCACTACAATAACTGGAAGGAACAGCTGAGAGCTCCTGCCTTCCTTTCCACTCCTCACCAGGTTTCAACGTGATAGGCTTTTCCACAGCTGCAGCCTCAACACACAGCATGTGCTTGTAGTCATCATCCCCCAAATCTGGGATTGCCTTTGCCTTCTTATCCCAGGGATTCCAAACCACTGCAGACACGAAAATTAAGTCCAATAACAAGCAAGTGCTATTGAATTTTGTATGTTAAAACACTTATGTAGTGTTTGGTTCACTGGAATGAAGGTGGATGGGAATGGAATGGTCATTCTTTAGCCTCCTTACGAAGAATGACCATTCCCTTAACAATGATAAATGATGATTCAATTTGCAGTACATTTTTCATAATTTTTTAGTGAACCAAATGTGAAAATGAACATTTTGATGAAATGATCATTCCCTTCTAGCTCACTCCAATGAACCAAATATAGCATTATGTTCAGTTCTACATATTTGCTCAATCAGCTCATTATCTAAGCCAATTTTAAGAGTGAAACTACAGGAATGGTCATATGATTCGTCAATATAAAGTCACCAATTGTCCAAAAGCTTTAAGCTGTTGGGAAATGAGTCCAACCATATATATCAAGCTATTCAACATCCTCCCCCACATGCAAAATGCAACTCCGTTTTGCATGTGAAGATGCAAACATCCAAGAGAAGAAAGAATGCAAACAGGGACCAAATGCAAATGGAAAGACTTAAACCTAAGACCTCCCCCATACCATGTTAAGTCACCAATTGTCCCAAAAGCTTAAGCTGTTTGGAAATGAAATATCAAGCAATTCAACAGTCAGAACTAAGAACATAAAGGTCAGGATTTTACAGAAGCCTGTAAAGAGGAAGCCCCTGTAACCTCTCTGCTACAACTGGAGGAATGACAATGTCAGATATACAATTTCAACCCTGAACTCTAGCAAGAACTGTCAGATTAAAACAGTTTTAAGACTTGTACCAAAACGAAAAAAATCAAACAGAAGGGGCCTATAAATCTCTTACAAAAATGTAACACACTGTCATGACAAAAACAGAAAGAAATTGGGTCCCTTGAACTTTGAAGTAGATAAATTATCATCTCAAGAGGGAAGGAAGATGTAAAGACAGTGCTTAGAATATCAGCAATGGTTACATCAGTAACATCACCTTTTTTGCTAGGTTTGGCAGAGGGGGCAGGGTGTTATTCAAAAAAAGAAGTCCACAAAATCCATTCTAGGTGGAGTTTGGACACAAATTAACAACTAATCAAATAGCAAGTTGGGTTGTTCAACTTCAAATGTTTTCAAGGTTCATATCTGCAGCTTTTCTATGCATAACAAACGACCATGTAAAGATATACAAGACATATTGCTAGGTTCTATGCTCTCTGTGCAGAAGATAATACATGCTGGTAGCACATTAATTGCTTTGACCTTGCCTCCTATTCTACCCATAAAATAGCTTCAAGCCCCAAATCATAGTAAAACCTTCATAGCATAAATATATTAGGGTAAATTACACTGACCACCCCTGAGGTTTAGAAAAATACAGTGAGAATGTAAAATGAAGAAATTAGGGTTGAAGGTTAGGAGGAAGAAGAAGAAGAGAGAACTTTTGTATATATTGAAAACCAATTAATTCCCTCAACTTTACATCACTCAAATATATATAAAAAACCTAAAGTAGCAATATGACCATCGTACCCTCATCTTAAGTAAATATTAACAAGACAACAAAAATAACTAAAAGAACTATTCTAATACTCCCCCTCAAGCTGGAGCATAGAGATCGAACATGCCCAGCTTGGCAGACAAACGAAGAAATGAAGGCCGAGCCAAAGGTTTGGTGAGAATATCACCCAATTGATCCTCAGAACGAACATAAGGAGTCACCAGTTGCTTGCGGAGTAAGAGATCACGAATAAAATGGCAATCAACTTCGATATGTTTGGTGCGTTCATGAAACACAAGGTTATTGGCAATGAAGATAGCAGCCTGATTGTCACAAAACATGCGCATAGGAGTGGAAACAGAAAGCCAAAATCTTGGAGAAGAGACTGAACCCAGAGCATCTCAGAAGCAGTATGAGCCATGGCGCGATATTCAGCCTCGGCACTAGAACGAGCAACGACGGTCTGTTTCTTGCTACGCCAAGTGACAAGATTACCACCAACAAAAGTACAATAGACTGAGGTGGAACGGCGGTCAGTCGTATTACCAGCCCAATCAGCATCACTGAAGCCAGCGACAGACAAGGAGGAAGATGGGCGATAGAGCAACCCCCGACCTGTAGCACGCTTTAAGTATTGCAAGATACGACATACAACCACAAAATGGGGTTGGCGGGGAGCATGCATAAACTGACTGACCACACCCACAACATAGGTAATATCTGGACGAGTGACAGTGAGATATATTAACTTGCCAACCAACCGACGATAACGACCAATATCAGGAAAGAAGTCGCCAGTGTCACCAGCAAGCTTGACACTAGAATCCATGGGAGTATCACTGGAGCGAGTGCCTAAGAGACCAGTCTCAGTAAGAAGATCAAGAACATACTTCCGTTGAGAAAGAAACAAGCCCTGAGAAGAACGGGCAACTTCAATCCCAAGAAAATACTGAAGATGGCCCAAGTCTTTGGTGTGAAATTGTTGTCCCAAATACTGCTTCAAAGTAGCAATACCATTGGAGTCACTCCCTGAAATGATGATGTCATCCACATAGACAATAAGAACAATACTCCCAGTAGACGAGTGGCGAACAAAAACAGAGTGATCAAAAGTGGAACGGTGAAAGCCATAGGCAAGCACAACAGCATTGAAGCGATCAAACCAGGCACGAGGGGACTGCTTAAGACCATACAAGGCCTTCCTTAATCGACAAACAAGATGCTCTTGGCCGGGAACAACATAGCCAGGGGGCTGATCCATATGGACCTCCTCGTGGAGATCACCATGGAGAAAAGCATTCTTGATATCCAGTTGATATAAAGGCCAAGGCTGATTAACTGCAACAGAGAGAAGAATCCGAACAGAGTTAAGACGGGCCACAGGAGAAACGGTCTCCAAGTAATCAACACCATAGGTTTGGGTGTAGCCTTTAGCTACTAGGCGAGCCTTAAGTCGCTCAACAGTTCCATCAGGAAGATACTTAACAGTATAAATCCAACGACAACCCACAATAGATTTGCCAGATGGCAGAGGGGTAAGGTCCCAGGTCTGATTTTGATGAAGAGCATGCATTTCCTCATCCATGGCAAACTTCCAACTAGAGATGGACATAGCCTCAAGATAGGTGCGAGGAATGGAAATACTCGACAAGCTACAAGCAAAAGAGTGAAGACCAGGAGAGAGACAATCATAAGAAACGAAATGAGCAATAGGATGTTGAGTGCAAGTGCGTTTACCTTTGCGGAGGGCAATAGGAAGGTCATCAGATGGTAGAGCAACAGGTGGAACAGGGGCCTCAGACGAAGGAGATGAACTGGTCGAGCCATAAGACACAATGCGACGAGCTTGAGGCCGTTGATAAACCTGCAAAGGAGGGGTAGAAGTGAGAGGAGAGGGAGAGGATAGAGGAGTGGATGTGGAAGGAGCATAAGAGGGAAGAGTAGGAGCGAGAGAGGCTGGCTCCCCCTCACGAGAAGAGAGAAGATCAGTAGATAACTGTTGCCCAGAGGAAGAAAAAAACGGAGTAGACTCAAAAAACGTTACATCAGCACTGATAAAGTAGCGACGAGACTCAAGATGATAACACCGGTACCCTTTTTGAGTGCGAGAATAACCTAAGAACACACACTTACGTGCACGAGGAGATAACTTATCCAACCCAGGGTCAAGAACATGGACGAAGGCCACACACCCGAAAATGCGAGGAGGCAAGGGAAAAGGAGATGTGGTGGAATATAGCAGAGAATAAGGAGATGTGTGTACAACACTAGAGGGCATGCGATTGATAAGCAAACAAGCAGTGAGAACAGCATCGCCCCAAAACTGTTTGGGGACATGCATATTAAACATCAGGGTGCGAGCAACATCTAGCAAATGGCGGTGTTTCCGTTCTGCAACACCATTTTGATGAATAATACCATGAGCATCACAAAAGGTAGTAACAATAGATTGCACATATTCTAAGGCATTATCAGACCGAAATATCCTAATACGTTTGCCAAATTGAGTAAAGATTTCATTATAAAACTTAGAGATGATGGAAGGCAAATCAGATCTTTGTTTCATTAAAAACAACCAAGTCATCCGAGAGTAATCATCCACAAAAATAACAAAATAAAAGAACCCATTAACAGTAGGAGTTCTAGAAGGACCCCAAATATCTACAATGATGCTTCCCAAATTGACAGGCTTCACACTCAATCTGAGAAACATGACTCAAACCCGGAATAGCTAACTTGAGCTTGGCCAAGGAGGGATGACTCAAGCGAAAATGCCACTGAAGAGGAGATACACTAGCACTCAACACAGCAGATGGAGGAGGAGACGTCTCAGCGTCCAAAAAGTATAAGCCATCCTTCTCATGCCCCGAACCAATCATCCTCTTGGTCTGGAGGCCCTGCAAAACACATGAAGTAGGAGAAAAGGTTATTGAACAATGGAGAGCTTGAGTCAATTGGCTAACAGAAAGCAAATTAAATGGAAATTTAGGAACATAAAGACCAGAAGGTAAGGACATGGATGGAGTGGGATGAAGAGGACCTTGACCACAGACAGGCCGAGAAGATCCATTAGCAAGTATAATGGTATGATCAACAGGTCTAAGAGTATCAAAAAGAGAGGAATTACCAGAGACATGAGAACTAGCACCAGAGTCTAGGAGCCAAGGCTGAGAGGACTTAGCCACACATGCAATATTACCTGAACTAGCCATGGTAGCAGTAGAGGAAGAAGGTAGACTAGGCCGGAGAGACTGGACAAGGGCAGTAAGCTCACTAATTTGAGTAGTGAGTGTCTCATGCGAAGTAACAGGAGAAGCATCCGAGCCAATGGACAACAAGGAAGACTGTGAGGAGGGGACATCCATAACCTGATGGACATGATCAGGTCTGCCATGCTTTTGCCAACACCAAGGTTCAGTATGACCTTGGGAACCACAATGAGTACACTTGCGATCGCCACGTGTACGAGAACCAGGTCCACTACTACTTCCACCACGGAAACCACCACGTGAGCCACCACTACGAGAACCACCTCCACGAGAGCCTCGGAAACCAAAAGAACTATGAAAACCCCCGCGAGTAGACACGTGATCACTACTACTAGAAACCAATGCAGAAGATGATAAAGAAGACCCAACAGTGGATTGTGCTTGTCCCAATGAAGAGCGTAACAGCCTAGAATAGGCATTGGCAGCTGAAGGTAGAGTGTCCTGGCAAGAATCTGATCTTTGAACCCTCGCAACTCAGGATCTAAGCCAGAAAGTAAAGAAGCCATCATAAACTCCTCCCAATGTTGTTTTTGGGTGGTCACATCAGTTGTGAAAGGTCAATGCTGTAGTAACTGATCCCACAAAGTCTTGAGACTACTATAATAATCAGGGAGAGACCGGCCAGATTGACGCATAGCAAAAATCTGTTCATATAACTCGTAGACCCGAGAGACATTACTTTGAGTTGAAAAAGACTCAGCAAGGGAGTCCCAAATGGCCTTAGAGGTATCACAAAATTCCACGGTAGTAGCAACCTGTGGTTCCAGACTATGCCAAATCCAACCCATCACACAAGAATCCTCACAACACCAATCATCATAATCCTTATCATCAGTAGGAGGAGGGAGTTCACTAATATAGCGGGACTTCTTCTTACCTCGTAAGAAAATCTTGACAGCATGGGCCCAAGCCAAATAATTAGCACCATTCAATTTCTTTGTAGTGATAGATTTAGGCATATCATCATCTTTACCCATAGCTATAGCCTTAGCCTCAATCTCAACCATAATGATCAACCAGACTTGCAAACAGCCAATACCCACAATCACCACTATAAACACAGAACTAGCTCAACAACCAAGTTTGGACCCAAATGAGACCAACACATCAACTCAACAGTAGCAATCAATAAAGAGAGGACAAATATCCCTTGCTAGAAGGGTTTCAACCCTTATATAGGAGCTTTCAATAGGTAGAACCGAAGAACACAAGGTGACTGGACCAGAAACAGCCAAAAATCAAACAGAATATCAACCCAATAGGAGTAAAACAACAAATTAAGATCAAGGACCCTTAGAGGGGTGATTTTCGGCTCCTAGGGAAGTGAGCCCAGCAAGAAAAACCAAAAAAAAATAGTCCCAAAGGCATATTCAAAAAAACAGTCCCAAAAACACGAAATAGTTTCAAAAATCGAAAACTCACATCAGGGATGATCAAAAAATTTCACAAAAATCACCATAAATCTCAGGAGGCAATTTTGAGTCTAGGGGTGAAGGATCCGTCCGTACACTGCTTACGTCATGCTGACGTCATCGTACGACTGATGACATCAGCACGTCTCGGTCACCTCAGATCGATCTTTAGAATCTGTAGAACCCTTTCTAATGAAGAAGAGATGGCTCTGATACCAAGTGAGAATGTAAAATGGAGAAATTAGAGTTGAAAGTTAGGAGGAAGAAGAAGAAGAGAGAACTTTTGTATATATTGAAAACCAATTAATTCCCTCAACTTTACATCACTCAAATATATATAAAAAACCTAAAGTAGCAATATGACCATCGTACCCTCATCTTAAATAAATATTAACAAGAGAACAAAAATAACTAAAAGAACTATTCTAACAAATACAATAAGCTTCACAAGTTTGGCATAATTACACCAACCTCCTTTTACTAAGGCTAAAGCAACCAAAATTAATGCAAATTGTGTAAAGACAAGAAGAATAAACAAGGTAAAATATACAATTTAGTGTAAAAGATATGACAACAATGTTTTTTTTATTCATACAACTAACGAATTACTGATGAAAATAAGTGTTATGTGAATTAAAACCTTAAGGGAACTCAATGTATTTTCTCCAAAGCGCAAGGAAGGTTAGTACAATTTACCAAATATATTAATAGAAAGCTCAAAAGTCTGATGAAGCAGATAACATGGCTAAACTCACCAGCATCAGGAAGTCCATCCTTCCGCAATACAAATGTTCTTTTTTTCTCATGATCCAGAATTGCAATCTTGGTCGGCGTACTGACATATACTTTGTCCACCTTTTCCACACAGAAAATCACCAAAATATTAGTGAAAAACAACAAGAATACCGCCACATAATCCATTGGAGAAAAAGAATACTAACTTCTGATTCAAATGTAATTGCATCCCCTTGCTCAGTAAATCGCTGTCTATCCTGCAGGTTATCTAGATAATCCAGCGTCTCCAGACCTTCTATGCGCACTTCACTGATTGTAACCAAAATTCAATGTCAGGTAACCAGTATTTGAGCATAGAGTTGTGCAGAATTGTTTTTTCAGGAGTATGTTGTAGACATTATCAGGAGAATTTGATAATATTTGGAACAGTTAAACTGAACAACCTACTTATACTGTTAAGAAGGAGAAACAAAAAAGAAAGAAAAAAGAAAGGGAATATTAAGAACGGCAGGCCTAAGCCCCAAGCGAATTGGAGAATGCAATCGCAAAAGACACCGAAAGCATAACAGAAACTAAACTACAAAAAATATCCACAAAAAATATGACGACAGCCCTCTATATGCACCATATAAACTATAAAAAACCTCCCTGCTTTCAAGGTCCTAACTCCCTGTATGTTTCTTCAATTCATTATCCACTAGCACCATTAATATCACAGCACATTTTGGCAAGCTTGAAATCTTATTAATTTATGTGAAAGACATCACGTGTTCATTATGACAGTATCTACATTGCTTCTTTCTTTTCCTATATTTTTGTCCCTCTTTTTTCCTGATACATTTGCAATTTTTACTGATACATATGTAAGAAATATATTTTTTCATCTTCACAATCATATATAGGATCATTTCTGAACATTTCACATATGTGCTATGTGTTTTGCTTAATGTTCCAAGTGTTTCCCAACAAGTTTCAAATTCTTTCCTTGAAGTTTTTACAGCCTGACACTCCAACATAATGTACACAAGGTGGCTGACCTCAGGTATACCGAAACAGATGAAGAAACAGAGCATAAAAATCATAGATGACAACAAGAAGTCGAGTCTGTGAAAAAACCTGATATCAGAAACAGAGAAATAATTGTTATAGGCAAATGTGAATGTAAATGACTTTCCATCTGTGTTGGTATTTCTAATGCGGGATGTCAACATCAGATCTCCTCCAGGTCCCAGGGTCACCCTAAGGCGAAATTCATATCTGCGAATCACGGAATTCTGAAATATTAATTGATCCACGTCCAACAAGAGACCAGAGACTGTAATATTTACATGACCAATGTATGACAAGAGAACCGTCAATAAATTCAAGAAAACATATTTGTAACCAGATGCACAGGCACACACATGTACAAATTTGCAGAATGCAAAAATGAAAATTTCTCTTGGGGTGGGTAAGAAAATAAGATGACTAACATCGAGCCCAATAAATAAATAATGTTGGCACAAGCAAACTAATTGAATTCAACAATTTACCTGAAAGAATTTTCACTCAACAGGAAAGCATGGAGCTCAAATAACTCAATCAAAATGCCTTTCTAAAGGATGATTGCGTGGAATATTGGACCGAATTAAACATATTCTCAAATTTGAGTTGTGCACCTGTGAGGCCATGTCTTTGCATCTTCTTCAGAGTGTTTAAGTATTAAGTCAATAAAAGCTTTGTTGGTCCTATTTGTTGCAAAAGGAGGAGGATCAGGATCAACACTCCAAAACCTATTCCTTGCAAATCCATGTTGTTCTAGAGGACCATGACTTCCAAACTGCATATGGAGAGTATTCCCTCAGAAAAATGTAATATATGAAAAGCGAAAAACAGATTGCAGAAAGAAAGTTTTACACACTTGAGGAAAGCAGAGTGGAATTCCTCCACGTATAGCCTTTGGAGGCTTGAAAATAGCCTGCATGAAACTTAAGTACGTTTTAGAAAAGAGAACACATAATTATGCAACAAAAACTGCAGAAAAGAAAAGCATATATATATGCAGATTAAATTATTCATGGGGGTGTAAGAATTCGTGGTTGAATCTGGGAAACTGGCTCAGCAAGAATTAACAACATAAACCTATTAAGCAAGGGGTTGTTCAAATGCTGCAGAAAAGAGACTTGAGAAAAGAAAAAGCAAGTCGATCACTTTGAAGATAAGAAAAACAAATTCCAGTCCCATTGACATTAGGCTTTAACAGTTACTAATTTGGACAACTGACAATTAAACCACATTACCTGAATTTAAAAACTTCAAGGTCTAAATAGATGAAATTGATAATTTAAAGATAAAATAGAAAAAAATGGCAATCACTCTGTTTGGTTTCCATTTCCAGAATTCACATTTCAAAAAATTCTACTTTTTCATTTTCCATTTTTTTGTTTTCATTGATTTTTTTTAATATTTTAAGGAATTTTTTTAATTTTTAGACACAGCTAACATAAATTAAAAAGTATAATATTTGTGAAAAAAATCTTTAAAAAATTCACTAAAGACCAAAAAAACAAACAAAACAAAAAACAAAAAACAAAAATTCAGTACATTTTTTTGTATTTTTGTGTATTTATTAATTTTTTAAAATATTTTTTCACAAATATTTTACTATTTAGATACATCTAAGTAAAGTGCATCTAAAAAAGTAAAAAAAATCACTTAAAATTTTAAAAATATTCATTAAAAACAAAAAACTCAACTTCCAGAAAATTGAATTCAGAAAATTGAAACCAAACCCACTGAATAATTTAGGAAATGAAAATAAAATTAACCCTATTTTCAATGTTTTGTAAAATTAACCATATCTTACCAATTTTAATGAGAAATGAAACATGAATTTTAATATATATATATATAGAATCACAATTTTTCTTCATTTCTCACCATTTTCTTATCTTCTCAATAATCCAATAAAACCATGATATTTCCTAGTAAAATATATTGATGTATTATTGATTAAAATTTTCGATATATTACAATAATTCCTATATATAGAAGAGAGGATGTGGGAAGAGAATAGGTGAGTGTGTAGTAAGTATGGAGTAGGTGAGGAGTAGGTGGAGAGTAGGTGAAGTAGGTGAGTGTGTAGTAGGTGGTAGTGGTAGGTGTGTAGTAGGTGAATTTTAACAGCCTCCCGCAAACTCAAGGGGGATAGGAACTAACTAACTTGAGTTTGGAGAGACTAACAAAACAAGAAAATAGACGAATACATAAAATAAAAAAAGGATAGGAGACACTGTATGGTCGTGTCAGACCGTTGTAGAAGACTGTATGGGTATGGCAGATCGATGTAGAAGACAGTTTATGGGGTCATGTCGGACCGTTGTAGCAGACAATGTTGTGACAGTGACAGTTTACGGAGTCTTGCTGGACCCTTGTAGAAACTAACCGGAATCAATGTCGGGACAGTTTACAGAGTCTTGTCAGACCCATAAAGGAGCTAACCGGAATCAATGTCGGGACAGTTTACAAAGTCTTGTCGGACCCATGAAAGAGCTAACCGGAATCAATGTCGGGACAGTTTACAAAGTCTTGTCGGACCCATGAACTGCATGAAACTCAAGTACGTTTTAGAAAAGAGAAGAACACATAATTATGCAACAAAAACTGCAGAAAAGAAAAGCATATATATATGCAGATTAAATTATTCATGGGGGTGTAAGAATTCGTGGTCGAATCTGGGAAACTGGCTCAGCAAGAATTAACAACATAAACCTATTAAGCAAGGAGTTGTTCAAATGCTGCAGAAAAGAGACTTGAGAAAAGAAAAAGCAAGTCGATCACTTTGAAGATAAGAAAAACAAATTCCAGTCCCATTGACATTAGGCTTTAACAGTTTACTAATTTGGACAACTGACACCAATTAAACCACATTACCTGAATTTAAAAACTTCAAGGTCTAAATAGATGAAATTGATAATTTAAAGATAAAATAGAAAAAAATGGCAATCACTCTGTTTGGTTTCCATTTCCAGAATTCACTTTTCAAAAAATTCTACTTTTTCGTTTTCCATTTTTTTGTTTTCACTGAATTTTTTTAATATTTTAAGGAATTTTTTTAATTTTTAGACACACCTAACATAAATTAAAAAATATAATATTTGTGAAAAAAATCTTTAAAAAATTCACTAAAGACCAAAAATACAAACAAAACAAAAAACAAAAAACAAAAATTCAGTACATTTTTTTGTATTTTTGTGTATTTATTAATTTTTTAAAATATTTTTTCACAAATATTTTACTATTTAGATACATCTAAGTAAAGTGCATCTAAAAAAGTAAAAAAAATCACTTAAAATTTTAAAAATATTCATTAAAAACAAAAAACTCAACTTCTAGAAAATTGAATTCAGAAAATTGAAACCAAACCCACTGAATAATTTAGGAGATGAAAATAAAATTAACCCTATTTTCAATGTTTTGTAAAATTAACCATATCTTACCAATTTTAATGAGAAATGAAACATGAATTTTAATATATATATATATATATATAGAATCACAATTTTTCTTCATTTCTCACCATTTTCTTAGCTTCTCAATAATCCAATAAAACCATGATATTTCCCTTCTGTCAATTTTCTTTTAGTTCTCACCAAACCCCTTGAGATCTAAACATAATTGTGTGAACTAGTCATAGAAGAGTGTGAATTAGTTGTAGATGATTCGAACCCCATTCCTTCAGCTCAAGCAAGCTAAGTCCACATGGAGCCGCATTCAAAAACTTCTCTCTCCTTTGTTGTCGCATAGCTTTCAACTCTCCCTCCCTCTCACATGGCCACACAAGGAAGCCTCCATCTTCAAAAACAACTCAAAGGTATTGATCAAATACTCTGTTTTTCTCATATAGACTCGCTCATGTGTGCGTGTGTGTGTGCGCGCGTGTGTGATTAATTGGTTGTTGGTTTGTAGATCTTTGTAAGCACTTGGTCAATGATAAGGTGGAAGCCCCCAAAATGGGTGATCAAAAGATCGAATCACTATGCATATCTTGGTGGTCATTACTTTTGATGGTCTTTCTTTTTGGTTGACTCCTGTTTCTATTATATTGATCAAAAGCATCCAGCAGTGCCAACTCGATTCTAAGAGTTAAGGCTGGTGCGCCACCCTTTCTTTCCCCCCTGACCATGTGTGGGCCACACTTTAAAAAGGCCCTATGGGCGTTTTTCACTTACTTGTGTAAGCTCCCCCGCCAGTTCACGCTCCTTTTACCAACAACCTGGCGCTTCGCCATTTGACCGATACATGAATAATCAACACACATCAATAAGTACTCAATTGATCTGAGGTACTATATGCTGGACTAAAGACCATCCTTCGAGGACAGCAGGTCATCTAGACTGTCTGCCCCCAGCATCTATGTGCTAACATTTGGTCATTTATGCAAGAACATATATAACTTTAAGTAATGCATTAGTTTAAATCTCTTTTGGGGAATCACTAGAATCATCTCTAACAAAGATGTTTAAATGTTATTGAGTTTCCAAAGCCATAATGCTCAAGAAAGAAGACTAAAATGAAATATGGTACCTTACTGCTGACAAAAAGCAATTCTTCCCCATGATCATTCTTCCATGATGTAACTTGACCGCCATATAGATACACCTGTTTAAACAAACAAATACGAATGTGATAAGATTGTCAACATATATGCTTTTGAAACTTAGGTGACAAGACAATTCAACAATTTAATTCAAGTCCAAAGTGCACAATGTAACTTCATCAGCACTGAAGTTGGAACACAGTCAGAAACAGAAAAGTGCATTGAAAAATTAATCAAGAAAGAAGCAGAAAGACAAGATGTTCCATAGGGGATGAATATGACACTTGGTAGTCAACCAAGGCAGTCCATGTGTGTGAACCCTACATGCCACTGAAGTTGCATTCAACTATGTGCATGAATCACTATTCAATAATTCAACCAAATGATATCAAAATAACACTGTGTAGCAAGGAGTTCAGAGTAGACAAAACAGACACAAATCCAAACCTTTCTGTCAGATTGGCAAAGAACAAAGAGGATTTGAAAGGATTGGAGCTTAAATGACACATCAAAAGGGAGGAGATTTTTTAGTAAAGAAGCAAGGGAGAGCACAAATACATGGATTTGAAAGGTTGGAGAAAAAATGACACATCGTAAGGGAGGATATGCTTGAGTAAAGATACAAGGGCAGAAGTATATACAACATAGATTTGGATACTTTCTATAAACACATTTACCTATTGTTTAAACTCTTTACCAATCCAAGAACATTACATTTCAGTTCAAGTGTTCCGTAAGACAGTTATGACCATATATCAGAAATGCATACAATCTTCCTGACTAAAGAAGGGTAGGTGGGTATAACTCATCTGATTTACTAGATAAACTGAGTACATTTGTACATGAGCAAGAGCAACCCTATGGTGCTAAGAATTTGGTTCACACATAAGGAAAAATAAGAAATGGATTGATAGAGAAAAGAGAAAAAAAAAAGGGGGGGGGGGGGGGGGGGCCCACAAGCCATTCTCTGCCCCTCCAAGGCAAAGCACAAGTGTTTGGTGCAAAACTAAACCTAACCCACTACACCACTACCACCTCACCTACTCCACTAAACCTAACCCCACTGTACACAGATTTAAGATGCATTTTGTGCTGCATTCAGCAAATTTACCTATTGTGTTTAAACTACTTTATTAATCCAAGAGCATTACATTAGCATTTATTTCTCTAGTCGCACTAGAAAGTTCTAACCATATAGAAGAAAGAAGGACTATGTGTAGGTCCTAATAGGTAAACTTATTGTTCAATAGGTCTTGTGATAATTAATGACATTTTTCATCAAATGCTATTAAAAAGGTCACTAATTGTTAATTTTCAACGACAGTTTGAAAATTATCACAAAAATATCACTAATTATCAGTTTAACAACATTTTAAAAAAATCGTCACAAAAAAAGGCCACTAATTTTCGACTTATCGATAGTTTGAAAATTTTGTCACAAAAAAAGTCACTAATTGTAAGTTTAGCGACAATTTATAAAAACCGTTGACAAAAAAAAGTCACTAATTGTCAATTTTTAGCGACATATGCAAAAAGTCGTCATAAAAAACTATTTACTAGAACTTATTTTCAATAGGACTTTGTGGCAATTAAGTCAAACTATTAGGACCTATTGGTACTTTATCCTAAAAGAAACATATACAATAATCTTGATCAGCAACTATCTTAGCTAGAATAGCAAAAGATATACTTCAGCTCCCTTTGGCCCACAAAAACATCATAACCAACAAAGCCAGCAGGAGTTAGTAATCTCCATTCAACTTACTTACAATCTCCACTAGAAAAGGCCAAAGGGAAAGACTTGGGGCCTTTTTTTTTTTTTTGGATCAGCAACAAAGACTTGGGGCCTATTTGAGAAAACTAAAATTAAGTACGGAAAAGTTAAATGCTGAAGACTTTAATCTACTTGTTAATTTTAAGGGGAAAAAAATCAATTAGTTGCATCTAAATTTAAGCACCAGACTTAGTTAAGCTATTTGACAAGTACAACAAGCTCAAGTTTAAAAATTGTTAAGCGTACAATTTTTCCATTATTATAGTTATTATTGGCATCATTTTAAGAATATTTTTGTACATACAATAAAAAATGTCATAGACCTAACACACAAAACAAAAACCCAAAACAAATTTTGTCACATGTACTTGACCATTGAACTAATTACATATAAAAAGGATCAACCTTGCTACACACCCCCACTGGGGGTCGACCCCCAGTGACGTGGGCTTCCCCCATTGGCCAGTTTTTTGTTTTTTTTTTTGTTTTTTTTTCTTTCCTTCCAATCCCGCAGTGCCACGTGGCACTGGGGGTCACTGGGGGTGACTTTTACTGGGGGTCTCGCGCATTTCTGAAAAAGGATATTCCCTAAATACTTGTATAACCCCATTTCACTCAATACATTTCAATTCAAACACAAAATACCCATGGTCAATTGATACATACATAAGTATTTAGGGAGGAATGTCCATTGGAGATCAACTGATACATACATAAAAGTGTAAATGAATATATACACACGCAAACAGACCCACTGAATGCGAACTGATATATGCATGTATATGAATATTTAAGGAGGAATGCCCATTGGAGATCAACTAATACATACATAAAAGTGTCTATGCACACACAAACATGAACACTTAGAAAGACCCATTGAAAGGCTTGTGCCATCATATGATTGATGAACGATAGAAACCTTTACATCAGCATTGTTATTACGTGATTCCTGGACAATAAATCAACGAAAAAATCCAACAAGATGACTGATGCTCAGGTACAACTAACCAACTCTCCTTTGAGAGAGAGAGGGAGAGTGGCATTGCAAGTTGCAACAAGACAAAGCGACACTTTGCAAAGACAAGAGGGTGTCATGTATAGAGAGAGAGAGAGAGAGAGAGAAGGTAACAATTGCACATTATCACACACATTTAATAAGATAAATAACTGTACCTATTCAATATTAAGTACTTAATTGTGTTAACAAACAGACCCTTAGACTCACTAGAACTTGTCTGCATGCATCCAATGTTCATGATCAGCAAACATCTTAGCTACAGCAATTATAAAAAAACTTGAACTACCCTCAGTCAACAAAGACTTCTTAACTAAAGAAATCAAGAACATCTCATTCAACTGCCACCTCATTTAAAAAGGCTAGACCCACTAGATCAGACTAGTACTATTGAGGCAGTACAAGACCTGCTCCACCTACCACCTACTACCACCTACTCTTCTATATATAGGAATCATTGTAGCATTATAACATTCAAAAATTACAAACATCAATCAATAATACAATTCTCTTTTTCTCTTTATACATTAAATTTCTACACCCTACATGACTAATCAATAACAAATTAAAAAATGCAACAGATGTTGAGAAACCACATAAAAACTTAAAAGGAGTTATTGACGATGTAACCAATAAATGACTGGATACAAAACAATTACTACAATAATAGAGCCTAAAGCCATATCTTCATATGTCAGCTTGTTTGAGCAAACTACAATGTTCATCAACCATTGTCAGCAACTTAAATCATAAGAAAGCATTTGAAGGCAAAAGGTTAAGCAAAGCACATTAATCTCCTCGAGGTGAGGCATAAGAAAAATTACATTAAAATAATGCAAACTCAATCATATCCAATTGGAATGGATTGATTGATTGGAATGATAAAGGGGTGTGCAAATGAATTGACCAACTCGATAAACTAATTGAACCTAGTCTTCATGATTCACTTTGGTTTTGTAATTTGAAGAACCAACTTGGTTTTGTTCTAGGTTGGTTACCTGGTTTACCCAAGTGAACTCGAGATTTAATTCATGAATATATTAAATGAACAAAAAACCCTGGGCATGTGTAACAAAATAGCCTCATAAGTTCTATCATCATTCTATTATCAAAATAGCCTCAAGGTTAGTAGGCCAAGATTTTACCATTGAACCAATGGTCACCACTGAATGGATATATAATGCAAAAAAGACTTGAGGCTTCAGCTAACTTGTTGATGTAGGATACAATCCTCACCCTGGTGTGTATTGAATATGGATATATAACAAAACAAGGGAGTTGGTGGGACATTTTTCTTAGATGTCACCATGGATGGTGAGGATTAATTTAATCTGATGGTGAGAAATCTATAAGGGCTGATGTGTTAGGATTGGTCCACCCAAGTGGGTCCAATTAGTTGTTTCTTTGCTTTATGCAAGTATTTTAGTAGAGTTCGAAATCTACTAGAAATCAAATGTGTAGAATTTGGTTTCCCAATTATATGGGATTAGGATTCTTTGGGTTTGCCTATAAATAACTAAATGGGGGCTATGAATTTATGTGGTGAGAATAAGCGAGTGACAGGGAGGTGAGAGAAAAAACACAAACAACCAAAGGGCTTTGGGTTTGGGTATTTTATCTCATATTTGTAATCACTCATATTTTAGTGGATTTCTCATACCTGTGTATGTAGTCAGTTGGTGCCAAACCACATAAATATTCGTGTCATATTTTTTCGGGATGTTTATTTGTGTTTTCGCTAGCATGGGTGGGATTCAAAATCCCAACAAAAAGTATTAGAGCTTAAGGTTGTCGATTCTAGGTGGGATTGGCAAACAAAGGAGCACAGGTTAAATTTTCTGATTTGCTTGTACAAATCAAAATCTTTTTTTATCGCACAGAGAAAAAAAGTTTTGGATAGCGAAGAGGTTGGAAACAGTGCAACGCATTGTGGACAGAATTTTGATTGTGGTCTTGGGAGGCGTGCACAAAAGGTTGAGCTTCTTTGCACCGTATTAGTCTTTAATGGAAAAGACAATCAGGTAATTGGAAGTTGATTCAAGTTTCACAGGATTGTGATCCAGTGTAACAGGTTAATGAATCTCGATGATGCAGAATTCTTTTATATTGGTGCTTAAATATAATAGAAAAATTTGAGGTGGAGGTGTACTCCTAAGGTTTTTAGGTGTGGTGATTTCATCTGTATGGTCAGAATTTTCAGATTCCGAACAGATCAGTGGAGGTCAAAATTCTCATGGCAAGGAAAAGTTCAGGTTTCATGATTGAACCTTTCA